CGCCCCGGACACTCCTTTAAGCGCTCCTTTCCCCATTTTAAACAGCAAGCGAAGGGGTAAAAACCCGAAAAGCGCCAGAAAAACTGGGGAATTGAAATCCGTTCGCCCCCCCCCCGAGTGTCGAGCTTTGGGCCCCGGGCCCCTTGTTACTCCTCGCGGGGCCATTCTCCTCGGGACCGCAAGATCCATCTTTTCCTCGGAAAAATCAAAAGGGAACCCCTAGCAACCCCCGTAACAACAGTTAAAAGGGGAAAAGGGCGTTTACGTTGGAATATCCTGAGAAAAAAAAAAACAACAATCCCCAAAAAAGGGAACAAAAAGGGAAAACATATTAAAAAGTTTTGGAAAGGGAGGACACCCAACCCAAAAAATCATAAAGTGTTCCAGTCTAAAACCCGTTGTCCAAAAAAGGGTTTTCCCCTGGGGGCAACATCTGTAGAAAAAGAGACAAAAAGGGGAATACGCTGACGAGCCCAATCTAATGTCCCAAAAACCCAATGGCCCCCGTCACCCTAGGGGATAGGATCGACCTCTTTCCTTTGAAATCGGGTACATCTGCCCGAGAGGCAGGGAAAACAGTTAAAAAGGGTTTACCCCCGCAAAAACTCAGGTCATTGGGACAAAGCCAAAAAGGAGACCAAACCCGGGCTTTTACCGGGGAATTTACACCGGTGAACAAGAAAAATAAGAAGAAGAAATCATAAAGCAAACATATACGAGAGAGGCCAAAGCTACTAGATAGGATTCTGTCCATGATATCAAAGGGATTGCAGAGGATAAAACGGACTGAAGAATATACTCCGAGCTCTATATGACATGTAATGACACATCAGGGCAATGACGATGATGACGCGTCCAGTTTCGAAGTCGAACGATGCTTCATTGTAATATGCGCTTGTGCACGTCGTTGTGTGTGGAGTACATTGCACAAAATCATCGCTTCAGCATACATCGATGATCTATGAAAGCCCTACATTCCAGAACCAAACGACCGGGCCAGCACCCAAACATATATCTTCAATGTGCGAGATATACGATTTAACGACTTCGCCACTTGAAGGCAATGTTATAGTTCTTTCACTTTACTGTATACTGGAACTATCATTACCTACATCTCACATTTGCTGGGAAATACATCAGACATAGAAATGTTTCCGAACTGCTATAGTTCGATTCTTACAATCAAGACAGATGGAAACTTTAGTACAATCAAGACAGATGGAAACTTTAGTACAATCAAGACAGATGGAAACTTTAGTACAATCAAGACAGATGGAAACTTTAGTACAATCAAGACAGATGGAAACTTTAGTACAATCCAAGACAGAAGGAAACTTTATTACAATCCAAGACAGATGGAAACTTTAGTTCAATCCAGAAAGATGGAAACTTTAGTACAATCCAAGACAGATGAAAATTTAGTACAATCCAAGACAGATGGAAACTTTAGTACAATCCAAGACAGATGGAAACTTTAGTACAATTCAAACAGATGGAAATTTTAGCTGTTTATTTTATGACTACTGTATGCACAGCTCCACCAAAAACCTGTTCATTTATATAAATCTTTTAATGGCAGTTTGTACTAGTGATATATTGTAATGCTAACATATGTATGTATGCAGTCTGTATGTAGATGTATGTAGTATGTATGTATGGATGCATGTATGTAACTGTATGTATTATGTATGTATGTATGTTGTATGTATGTATATCATGTATAGTATGTATGTATGTATGTATGTCTGTATGTATGTATGTAGTGTATGTATGTATGTATCGTAATGAATGTCTGTACTGATTTATGTATGTAGGTATGTATGTATGTATTATGTCTGTATGTATGTATGTATGTATGTATGTATGTATGTATGTATGTATGTATGTCTGTCTTATGTATGTATGTAGTATGTAGGTCATGTAGAATGTATGTATTGTATGTATGTATGTGTCTGTCTGTCTGTATGTATGTCATGTATGTATGTGTATGTATGTATGTCTGTATGTATGATGTAGGTGTCTTTCATGTCTGTATGTATGTATGTATGTGTTATGTTGATATGTCTGTTGTCTGTCTGTCTTGTCTGTATGGATGTATGTATGTATGTAGGTATGTATGTAGTATGTGTGTCTGTCTGTCTGTGTCTGTATGTATGTATGTGGTATGTACTGTATGTATGTATGTATGTATGTATGTTATGTATGTATGTATGTATGTATGTATGTATGTATGTCTGTATGTATGTATGTTTGTATTTTGTTTGTCTGTATGTATGTATGTATGTATGTATGTATGTATGTATGTATGTTGTATGTATGTATGTATGTATGTGTGTATGTATGTATGTATGTATGTATGATGTATGTATGTATGTATGTATGTATGTATTAGTAGTATGTATGGTGTATGTATGTATGTATGTATGTATGTATTGTATGTATATGTATGTATGTCTGTATGTATGTTGAATGTCTGTGTGTATGTATGTATGTATGTATGTATGTATGTGTGTATGTGTGTATGTGTGTATGTCTGTATGTATGTCTGTCTGTATGTCCGTCTGTCTGTCTGTCTGTGTCTGTCTGTCTGTATGTCTGTCTGTAATGTATGTATGTATGTCTGTATGTCTGTGTATGTATGTCCTGTATGTCTGTATGTATGTATGTTATGTATGTATGTATGTATGTATGTTATGTATGTATGTATGTATGTATGTATGCTGTATGTATGTTATGTATGTATGTATGTATAGTATGTATGTAGTAAGTAGTATGTATGTATGTCTGTATAGTTGTATGTCTGTAATATCTGTCATGTCTGTCATGTATGTATGTATGTCTGTATGTCAGTCTGTATGAGTATTTATGTATGTATGTATGTGGTCTGTTCTATGTATGTATGTAGTATGTATGTATGTATGTATATCTAGGTATGTACTGTGGTCTGTATGTCGTAAAAGTATGTATGTACGTCAAGTTGATTGTCTGTATGTACTGTCTGGATGTTGTCTGTATGTACTGTTCTGTACTGTCTGTATGTCTGTCTGTCAAGTCTTTATGTATGTCTTATGTAATATGTCTGTATGTAGAGTCTGTCTGTCAGTGAGAATGTCCGTATGTATAACTTCGAAAGGCCTCTGTTACGTATGAAGTGTGCGCGCACTAAATATGTTTTTGTGTGGTGTCATCGTAAAAGATCTGTACGTCAAGGAAGATTGTCTAGTAAACGGCATCTTGTCACACAAATAACCGTTTGAGCCTTATCAAGTGCCAGGGAGCACTTGAAGGACTAGAAGCAGAAGTCATGGTGTCAGGAAAGAGGGATAAAGGCCGGCCAAAACGAATATGGCACAGGATATCACTTGCTTGATCTGTGCGATCTGACGAGAGACCGAATTTCCTTTAGAAAGCTTTGATGGGAGCGGAGTTCAGGGAAGTGCCTGCTACATGATATAAGATATATATATATATACACACACACATACATATACACACAAATACATATATAATGCTGTTCACGTTTCCGGGCCCATTTAAACACTGCCTTACATTTCATTCGTACATTCTCAGACTCTTCAACGTCGGAGGAGTGTCACGTTCTCTTGCTTCCAGTCACATCAGCGCATATGTCGCGTGTTTCTTCCCCCCCCCCCCCCCCGCAGCCTTAACCTAGGTCATGCGAGAGACTCTTTTCGAAGAAAGCAGTACAACGTGATACCCCTCTGACCTAGTTAAGAGTGAGAAAGTGTGTAGATGGGCTAGAAAACGTGAACAGGTCCACACACACATACACACACAGATATATATATATATATATATGTATATATATATATATGCACACATACATAATACTTGTTTTTTTTTTTCTTTCTAGGATTGCACATTTTTCACAAGAAAGGACATTCTACGGTAAGTTATATATCTGTGTGACATCTGAATGCGATTGTATGTGTTGTAATAACTGCATATGCTACCGTGTCATTCAAAGATATGTGATGTTTTCCTATGTGTTGTCCTGGTACACTGAGCGACATTAATGGAAACAGCATAGTGACTGCTCTTAATGGGCATAAATATACCGAGCTTAAAACAATCCTATAATTATTGTTATTATTCGTTGTTTTCTGCACCTCTTCTTTTATCGATTAAGGTGTCGAGGAAGATTTAAAGGTCTGATTCATGCTCTTATGATCGCTTCGACCGTAGACATAACACACTGTTGTAGAGTGTATCCGATGTTATCTTTCCATCTTGTTCTTCGTTTACCTTGGATGCAGGTTTGCATCCTGGAGAACATTAGGCCAGGAAAGCAGTGGATCACAGTGCCAGCGGAACAGTCAGACTTGTGTAGAGTCATAACCATATTGAGCCGGGAGTGTAGGGAGTGGCCAGCAGGTGTCACGGAGGTAGAAATTAAGAAATATATTCAAGAAAATGCTGATTCCTGTGATGGGATTATTTATACAGACAGTTTTAGCAGGCGCATGAAGCCAAAAAAAAATTCTAAGCAAATGCTAATGGTTAGCATTTGGTGCAGGAGGGCCTAGCATATGATAGTCAACATCCAGCTTAAGAATGGAGGTGAAGGCGGTCACTTCAGCTTCCCGCTAGCTAGAATACTCGACACTTTTGTTGTTGTTGTTGTTGTTGAGGAATATAAACATACATTGAATGTAATGATGATATTCCATTTGTTTGATTACGAATGGAACTAGTAGTTCGTGCACGTGGTCTGTTTAGGCTCTGCCTGTGTAGTTATATGTTGAAGTTGTTGTGTAATTCACTGTTCGCATATTTATCGTCTGGGCCATGAGTAATATTTCATATAGAACAAGAAACTACAAGATATGACTGATACAAGAACAAGAGAAAAGATGGCAAGAGGACAGAAGTAATCATCATCATCTTCATTAATTCATTCAGTCATTTTGTCTTTTTCATTTTCATTATCCTCAGTCTCCTCCTGTTATTCTGCTCTTTTCACTAACCCAAATGAATCATAAGGCGAGCAGCCGCTCAGCGGAGAGACCGAACAGAGTGGGATCAAACCTGATCCAATAAAGACGACGTCTTCTTTAAAGTCCTATTTCTTGCTCTTAGTCTAGTACTCCAGTGTTTTCTGTAACAGACCTTCGTTTCTCTCTTTCGTTCTTTTTTTTTCTTTCTTTCGCCCCCCCCCCCCCCCCCCCCCCACAGGGTATCTATTTCCTCCCATGTCAGAGATTGTATTAATGTGATATTTTATATATGGCATCCTGTGACAGCTTCTCATCCCGCAGTCAGTGTCTCATCCTGCAGTCAGTGTCTCATCCCGTAGTGTGTCTCATCCCGCAGTCAGTGTCTCATCCCGTAGTGTGTCTCATCCCGCAGTCAGTGTCTCATCCCTTAGTCAGTGTCTCATGCCACAGTCAGTGTCTCATCCTGCAGTCAGTGTCTCATCCCGCAGTCAGTGCCTTATCCTGTGACGGCTTCTCAACCCGTAGTCAGTGTCTCATCCCGCAGTCAGTGTCTCATCCTGTAGTCAGTGTCTCATCACGCAGTCAGTGTCTCATCCCGCAGTCAGCTTCTCAACCCGTAGTGTAGCCAGTGTCTCATCCCGTAGTGTGTCTCATCCCGCAGTCAGTGTCTCATCCCGTAGTCAGTGTCTCATCCCGTAGTCAGTGTCTCATGCCACAGTCAGTGTCTCATCCCGCAGTCAGTGTCTCATCCTGCAGTCAGTGTCTCATCCTGTAGTCAGTGTCTCATCCTGTAGTCAGTGCCTCAACCCGTAGTCAGTGTCTTATCCCGCAGTCAGTGTCTCATCCCGTAGTCAGTGTCTCATGCCACAGTCAGTGTCTCATCCCGCAGTCAGTGTCTCATCCCGCAGTCAGTGTCTTATCCCGAAGTCAGTCTCAGCAGTCAGTGTCTCATCCTGTGTCAGTGTCTCATCCCGTAGTCAGTGTCTCATCCCGCAGTCAGTGTCTCATCCCGCAGTCAGTGTCTTATCCTGCAGTCAGTGTCTCATCCCGCAGTCAGTGTCTCATCCCGTAGTCAGTGTCTCATCCTGCAGTCAGTGTCTCATCCTGTAGTCAGTGTCTCATCCTGCAGTCAGTGTCTCATCCTGTAGTCAGTGCCTCAACCCGTAGTCAGTGTCTCATCCTGTAGTCAGTGTCTCATCCTGTAGTCAGTGTCTCATCCTGTAGTCAGTGTCTCAACCCGTAGTTAGTGTCTTATCCCGCAGTCAGTGACTCATGCCATAGTCAGTGTCTCATCCCGTAGTCAGTGTCTCATCCCGCAGTCAGTGTCTCATCCCACAGTCAGTGTCTCATCCCGCAGTCAGTGTCTTATCCCGAAGTCAGTGTCTCATTCCGCAGTCAGTGTCTCATCCTGCAGTCAGTGTCTCATCCCGAAGTCAATGTCTCATCCCGCAGTCAGTGTCTTATCCCGCAGTCAGTGTCTTATCCTGCAGTCAGTGTCTCATCTCGCAGTCAGTGTCTCATCCTGTAGTCAGTGTCTCATCACGCAGTCAGTGTCTCATCCTGTGACGGCTTCTCAACCCGTAGTCAGTGTCTCATGCCGCAGTCAGTGTCTCATCCCGCAGTCAGTGTCTCATCCCGTAGTCAGTGTCTCATGCCGCAGAGTGTCTCATCCCGCAGTCAGTGTCTCATCCCGTAGTCAGTGTCTCATCCCGTAGTCATTGTCTCATCCTGCAGTCAGTGACTCATCCCGTAGTGTGTCTCATCCCGCAGTCAGTGTCTCATCCCGTAGTGTGTCTCATCCCGCAGTCAGTGTCTCATCCCTTAGTCAGTGTCTTATGCCACAGTCAGTGTCTCATCCTGCAGTCAGTGCCTCATCCTGTAGTCAGTGTCTCATCCCGCAGTCAGTGTCTTATCCTGTGACGGCTTCTCAACCCGTAGTCAGTGTCTCATCCCGCAGTCAGTGTCTCATCCCGTAGTCAGTGTCTCATGCCGCAGAGTGTCTCATCCCGCAGTCAGTGTCTCATCCCGTAGTGTGTCTCATCCCGCAGTCAGTGTCTCATCCCGTAGTGTGTCTCATCCCGCAGTCAGTGTCTCATCCCGTAGTCAGTGTCTCATGCCACAGTCAGTGTCTCATCCCGCAGTCAGTGTCTCATCCTGCAGTCAGTGTCTCATCCTGCAGTCAGTGTCTCATCCCGTAGTCAGTGTCTCATCCCGTAGTCAGTGTCTCATCCCGTAGTCAGTGTCTCATCCCGCAGTCAGTGTCTCATCCCGCAGTCAGTGTCTCATCCCACAGTCAGTGTCTCATCCCGCAGTCAGTGTCTCATCCCGTAGTCAGTGTCTCATTCCGCAGTCAGTGTCTCATCCCGCAGTCAGTGTCTCATCCCGTAGTCAGTGTCTCATCCCGCAGTCAGTGTCTCATCCCGCAGTCAGTGTCTTATCCTGCAGTCAGTGTCTCATCCCATAGTCAGTGTCTCATCCCGCAGTCACAATCTCATCACTCAGTCAGTGTCTCATCCCGTAGTCAGTGTCTCATCCCGCAGTCAGTAGAGCGGAAATACACTTGTCCCACCAATGTGGCATCGGGCATATGAAGCTAGACTCATAGTATGAAATAGTAATCGGCATATATATTTGTGTGTGTGTGTTTGTGTGTGTGTGTGTCATGTGTGTAGTCAGTGTCTCATGTGGTGTGGGTGGGTGTATGTCATCCCGCAGTCAGTGTCTCATCCCAAGAAATACACCTGTCATAATGTCTGAGTTATTATGCGATTAACTGGAGCAGTTCAATGTTTAAAAGTAGTTACAGTCCATGGGTCTCATCCTGAGTCAGTTGATATTTTGTCTCATCCCGCAGTCAGTGTCTCATCCTGCATGCAGTCAGTGTCTGAGCTCAACCCGTAGTGTACTGCAACTGACGAATGCAGGGTCTCATCCTGTCTGTGTCTATCCGCAGTCAGGTCTCATCCCGAGCATGTGCGATTTTGTCAGAGGTACCTGGAATAATGAGTCAGTGTCTCATCCCGTTTCAGCTCATAGCAAACGGGTCGCCCCATCTTTGCTCTGCTCCTGTGTCAGTGTCTCATCCCAGAAGTCAGGAAAGATTGACATCCTGCTGTCTCAGCATATCTAGCATACCGTCGCATTAAAGCATATGGTAGCCATCCGAAGTGCTAACACAAACAGTCCAACATTAGAAATCATGTATGTATTATATACATACAGTCATTGATGATAGCAGAACTGTGTCGCCAACAGATCAGTGTTTCCCACGCGATCAATGTGTAATCAGACACGTCACCGCCAACATTGACGACCGGCATCGTCCATTTTCTGAATCTACATTCACACCACGTTGGTCACAGTCGAAAAAACATTCCAAATGCAATCCGCAGTCACAGGGTCACGCCATGCATTCAACTCAGAAGCTGGGCGACGAAACTATATCCAGTCTACAAATGGAGCAAAAATACTTCGGCCACCGTCCGGCAGAAGCAAAAAATTTGCCTCCGCTCCGACACAGCGCCGCTGTCTAGCGTCCATTTTAACCCGAAAAGAATGATGCAGCGAGGAATGGTTGCCGGCTACGGGCGCCACTCGAGACTCGGGGGGGGGGGGGGGCGCTAAGCAAGACGAGTAGTTAACCAGATGACAACGGTACTATGAGTATGGAGTCTCTTCGCTGGCTGTTGAGAAGAGAAACATCACTAATGTGGAATTTTCCCCAATGCTGTGATGTTGAATTTTTACTTAGATAAACTTGATGAATGTTTAAACTAAACTGTATTCAGTTACTTCTCTTTTCTTGTTATTATTGATTCTTTGTCACTAATAGAATCTGTTTCATTTTAATCACGTGATCCAATATTTATGAACTGCATGGATAAAACACAAATATATCTCGTGCTTCAGAGTCTTTAAAAGGTTCCAAAGCCTGGCTCCGGACATTATCCCCCTTGATCTGACCAGTGATGAGAGTTCATTCGTTAAAATACCTGTAGAGGTGATAGAAAATATGCCAGAACTCAAGGTAATAGTATCCAGTAGTATCCAGGATACATCTTAACTCATTCAGTACTCAGCAACTCATCTTGAGTGTGTTTGTAATTTAATCCAGTTGTTTCATTAACCCTCTCTTTCTCTGTGTTTTCGTTTACTCCTTGTCCACGTGTCGGTTCCGAGTTCCCACTTTTAGAGAGACGAAGAACATCCCGTCTTCTCTCTAACAAGCATGTCGCTAGAGGCGGCTAATTAGGAGTTTGCTAAAATCGGATGTGATGAGTGCACAGAGGCAACACTCGATGTAACCATCGCATATTTGGCGAACGCAGAAGATCAAATGAATTAACTGTATCTAGTATGAAATAATTAAGTAACGGAAAGTATTGTGAACGGCACTCATAGAAAGAAGTAGAAAGATAGAAGAACACACTAGACAGCATAAAAATCGAAAGCTATAGTTACCGTGCCGAGAATTGAACCTGTCACCTCCAGACGGCGTCTGCCCTCGCCATGAATACAAGTTCACTAGATACATGGTCAACTAGGCACCCCCCCCCCCCCAAAAAAAAAGGTGTCTCATTGGCCATGTCTATCGTACAGCTTGAAATCCACGACTATGGAATACGGACAGAATTCATTTCAACCCATTGAAATGGCACCATAGGTTACAGAAATTTATATTAACGAAGCAAATGTCGAATAACAATCACAGCAACAATTTACGAACACAGTAAGACCTTATTGCTTTGTCTAGAATACACAAACATTTAAGAAAGGTATTCGATTGGTAGGTTCCGGTGTGTATACGTCATTCCTATAAATAAACAGAGGGGGGAACCATTTGAGGGCGTTAAATATTATGAATTAATTAAGTAACAGAAAGTATTGTGAACGGCACTCACAGAAAGAAGTAGAAAGATAGAAGAACACACTAGACAGCATAAAAATCGAAAGCTATAGTTACCGTGCCGAGAATTGAACCTGTCACCTCCAGACGGCGTCTGCGCCACGCCATGAATACAAGTGCACTTAGATACATGGTCAACTAGGCACCCCCCAAAAAAGGTGTCTCATCTAGTAGTGCTATTCGGCAGCTGAAGCAGTTTGGTATTCAAGCGCACAGCGGATCAGAAAAAAAAATAGCAGAAGGCATAGTGTCAGGAAGGAGGGGCAGGGTCCGAGCTGCACGAAGATGGGGACAGGATGTAAGTTATGAGTTAGATTATCTTCACAGCACCCAGGACACATCCATAGACGCTCAGATTCCCCTCTCAACATATTCACCAGCGTCGTGCGGTTAATAGTACCAGTCCTATGTTGGTTAACAAGACTTCGTGTGTGTCCGGTATGCTTCTCATGCTTGGCTGTGCCGATCTATACTCCCAATTCGCGTATTCTTTGCAATGATGTGGACAAGTTGCTTCCACAATCCTTAGAACGTCCTATCTCTCTAATAATGTCTGCGTGATCCATGGGCCGGCCATCTTCAATTATTGCAGCACCTGCCAATCTATCGCTCTCTCATTACCAACAACGCCTGCATATCCTGGAACGAATATGAAAGTAACTGCACACTCAGGAGAATTTTGCAACGACTGAAGTCCTTGTCTGCGTAACCTGCCTGCCTCGACCCGCCGGATCATGCTCAAAGAATCACTCAGCACACACATGCGGGAATAGCCCTGTGATCTCAGCCACATATAAGGATATAAATTACTTCCTGAGTGTACGAAGCGAGAGATTTGCGAGAGACCGAGTTAGGCATGCAGACGGGGGTGAAAGCGGCATTCTGCAAAGAACCTGTTGCTTGATGATGACGAGGATGATAATGCTATTGTTTGATCACTTTCAGACATGAACCCGTGTCGCGTTTCCGACCCTATGGTGAGGGTGAGGGGGGGGGGGGGGGGCAATAGTGCTGGTGCTTTAACTGCTGGTGCTACTACTATTACTGCTGCTACTTCTACCACAGCTGCTGCTACCTCTACTACTGCTGCTGCTAATTCTACTGCTGCTATTGTTTCTTCTTCTATTACAGCTGCTGCTACTCCTACTACAGCTGCTGCTACTATTACTGCTACTATTACTGCTGCTGCTACTATTACTGCTACTTCTACTACTGCTGCTGCTACTACTACTACTATTACTACTACTGCTGCTGCTGCTACTATTACTGCTGCTGCTGCTACTTCTGCTACTGCTGCTGCTTCTACTACTGCTGCTGTTTCTGATATTACTACTGCTACTTATACTACTACTATTACGACTATTGCTGCTGCTATTATGACTGCTGCTACTACCATTACTACTACTGCTGCTACTATTACTGCTGCTGCTACTAATATTACTGCTGCTGCTTCTGCTATTACTACTGCTTCTTATACTTCTACTACTATTACGACTATTGCTGCTGCTACTTCTACTACTGCTGCTACTTTTACTACTGCTGCTGCTACTTCTACTACTGCTGCTGCTACTATTACTTGTAATGACTGCCCTTTTGTGTCTCCTCCACACTGACTATCTGTGGTGCAGAGTTAACACTGGCTCTAATATCTAGAGGTTCACAACTCAATCAACGCAGACATAATCCTCTTCATGGTCACACAACGTGTAACAACGGTTAACACCAGCGGCACATTTCACGAGTTTATTTACACGTTAGCTCAATACACAAATCACAGGTGAATCCACTTACAGCATTCGGACAATAGACGTTGACATATTCACAGCTGGCTTTGACAATCAAACAGGATACCATTCACAGCTGGCCTTCTCGATCATTCATTCCTCGCCGATTCAAATCCACATGCTCTAGTCATTCTCCATTCATCTTCACAGCTTCATTTTCCATCCTTTCTCTCTGGGGCCCAGTCACCGAATGCCCGCCTGATTCTCAATCCCCCAGATCTCCTCATTCGCACGTGACACACTCTTTCCTGTCGTTTCACAATATCTCCGTGAAACCCATGCTCTCAAGGGCTTCCCCAGTTATGCCAATCATCCCCTGACATTATCCCTATTTATAACATCATTACATCTCTCCTCCCCTTAAACAAAAAAAATATGCAATATTTTTTTTCCCATAACCTATATAAATTTCCATATAAGAATATATTGCCTTATTTTACTAATATGTTTACTGTTGGCTGGAATTCTACCATTGGTTCTCTGACTTGTACCACATATGCAGCATCTCTTGTCACTCCCCTTGACAGTTCTTGGCAATATGCTAACAGAATCACCTCCCCAAAGCGTTCCTCAACAACGCGGATGACCTTATAGGCTCTGTGACGTACTTATCAAGTCCTGAAGTCAGTCTACCTAAAGAAGACTGAACAACACCCCAAAGCGTTCCTCAACAACGCGGAAGTCCAAAAATGGCTCCAAAACCAGACTTATAAATCACACAGTTCTGTATGTCCCCCATAGAACCAAGTTCCTGTTGACAGTTCATTCAAAGTGATTGCTACTCCTTGTTGGTCTTCGTCATTCACCATGGTTTATACCAAAGCTTTGCCAGAATTTACTCATTTTAGCATTGTGGCAATTTCATTTTCTGTTTGTCCACTATATAATAGATATTTCCAAATTTCTATGTTTCAATACATCTGTAATTTCCTGTTAATAAAATTTCTATTATAACCTAATGTGTCTGTTGGTTTTTTATAAACTCATACACCATCTTTCAGTTTTATTTTTAAATTCATACACCATTCCTCATTATCACTTTCACATCATAACTTTCATACCATCACATTATACAACATTTATTTTATTTGAATATTAATTGTTAGTAACAACACGTTTATTGAACATTTGTTAGTAATGTTACACTGTTACTTATAATTATCTCCCTTTTTTATTTAACTCCCCTTGTGATTATTTCTGTTTACTTGTCACCTATAATTATCTCCCTTTTTTATTTAACTCCCCTTGTGACTATTTCTGCTTACTATCTTTATAACCTAGACATAATATCTGGAATGTGATTGTTAACCCCTTTTACATGCATAATGTCAAATTTAAACTGTTGCAGTAACAATGCCTAATGGTAAACTCTAGCGTTTTCATTAGCATCTATGTTCTGCAATTTTACCAATGTTATCTGTGATGACTGTAAATTCTTTTCTAATTAGGAAATTCTATCTTTTTTTTTTTTTTTTTTTTTTTAAAAACTGATCACAATATTTAATGCCTCTTGCTCGAAACTTATTTTTTATTATTTTTCCCTGATCACAGTTTAATTTTGTTGGCTTCCTGTTCAATTGCATTGTCAATAACTGATACTTTAATATTGCAACTTTCCTAACATATTTAACACAACAATTAACACTTGACATTAACACTGTCACAATTAATGTTACTAGCCACTGCATTATTAAATTTACTTGTTTTTTGTAGTTTGTTGATAGACTTGGACAAAATCTGTTTTTATCTTCTGTAGTTACTGGTATTTGTTCTTTGTTCATGTTTACGGAGTGCTCTTGAGTTTGTTGATTTTTTGTTACACTCCTTTTGACTGCTGCTACATTTTCTATTTCCTGCAGATTTACACTGTCATTTTTCTCTTCCATGAACGCATTTGTCTCTTGTCTCTGCGTGGTTAGCATCACCTCTTCTGTCATCTCAGGTATGTTTTCTTTCTCCCACTGGTTTTATTTCATGATCTGTCATCTCTTTCAGCCCTGGTTGGTTACCAATGATAAGTTCTGCACACGGTGAACTTAATACAGCCATGTCCATCTTCTTAGTGGTATAAGGCGTTTTAACCCATACTGATGCTATTCTAAATTTTTCTATCCTACCTCCGAATGTTCTACATCTAACCACTTTATCAGTCATATCCTCTGGTTTCACTAATGACTTATGTATACCTGAGATAGTCGATCCTGTGTCCCTCAAAATTGATAGGATTCGATTACCAACAATTCCTTTGTGTAGATTTAATTTTCCACAATCCTTTATAGAATTTGCATTGTGCGCTGGTATCTTATGCCTACATTTCAATTCTCCATATTCTTGAAACTTCTCACACATTGTGCATTTGTCTTCTTCTAGTAGCACTGCTGCATTTGTTTCTGATATATCACTTCCTGACTCGGAGTCTGATGTTTCACAAACTGCTGCTGCTTTAAATTCTTTCTTATATTTACAAAATTGACGCGTGTGCCCGTAGAATCCACAAGCCCAGCATTTACTTGTACTATCATATCTCTTTACCTTTTTCCTCCTGTTTTCAATTTTCTTTCTGACTTCTTGTTCATACAATTGATTGGCGTCGCATATGGTTTCATTACCGTGCCTTTTTTTGCATATGTCACAATCTATTATTGTTATTTTCCTTCCTCCATTAAATTTTTTTCTGGACGGATATGCTGATCTATTATATCCTGTTTCATATGACTTTTGTCCTTCGGCACTGGCTCCTGAGTATATATCAGTGTTTTGTGGTATGAGAAAAATATCACGATGTGCTGCATAATAATTTTCTCCTAGTTGTTCAAGATGTTTTAACGAAGTAGGTTTGTGTTCCTTCAGAAATGTGGTCATAGGTTTTGGTAATGATTCTAGCAATTTACTTCTTAATAGTAAATCAACTAACAGATCATAGTCGTTGTTAATTTTGGCTGAATCTACCCATTTCTGAAAAGTTGTCTGAACTTCGGACATATAATCAACAAATGTTTGAGTTGATTTTGGTTTTAAATCAATGAATTGCAATCTGTATCCTGCTTCTTGTAGGTCATAGTGCCTCATTATCCGGTCTTTAATATAATCAAAATCAAGTCGTAAATTTTCTGGCACTGTCTCCAGTATTTTTAACGGTTCTCCTCCAAGGTGTCTTTGGAACAGTATTGCCCAATCTTCTTTTGGAATTTTATGAAACCGAACTTGTAGTAAAAATGCTGAAATCCATGATCCAATGTCATCCTTTTCACCAAAATTCTTTATTAATCCTTTGTATTTTGTAAATTTATGTTCTTCTTCTTTAGCTCTTTCCCTTTGTGCTGCCAGTTCTGCTTTGGATTCATTATCCATTTCTTTTGTTCTTATTTGTGCTTCAACCTTTTGTCTGTCTGCCTCTATTTGTGCTGTCAACCGCTCTTGTTCAAGTTTTAACTCTTGCAATTTGATTTCTTTCTCATGGTCTAATTGCTGTTGTTTCATTGCTGCTTCATGTTGTAACTGTTTATTTTTCAGTTCTGCTTCTTGTTGTAATAGCTTATCTTTCATTGCTGCCTCGTGGGCACGTGCTTCTGCTTCCTGTTGTAATTGTTTCTCTCTCAATTCTGCCTCTTGCTGTTTCATTGCTGCTTCGTGGGCACGTGCTTCTGCTTCCTGTTGTAATTGTTTCTCTCTCAATTCTGCCTCTTGCGGTTTCATTGCTGCTTCGTGGGCGCGTGCTGCGGCCCTTTCTTCACGATCCAATTGTTGTTGAACCCTTTGTGCTTCTTTATCTTCCTGTTCTCTTCCTTCACAGAATTTTCTCAATTCCTCTCCTGATAGCCCTAACTGTTTTCCCAGATTTATGTATTCTGCTAGGTTTGACATTTTAAAACTGATTACTGTAATTTATTACTTTTGAAACTGTTTAACTTTAAGATAAATCCCGTATTATTTAATTTATACCCTTCTTTAACTAAATAATTGAGATTTTAAATTTAATTATATCCCCTGACAAATTTTTATACTCAATAAATAAATAAACAAAAATAATCTATTTTACTTAAATAGAATAATAGAATATCACAATCAAAGAACCTGAAAATAGAACAAAGAAAGCATGTAACAATGTAATGAGTTGACTCTTTTTCCTTGGTCCTGGTGATGGCTCCCTTGCTCTTCTGCTGTTGGAATGGACTGGATTAGGTTTGTGGCCCTTGATGCTCCACTGCACGTCTTTACTGTCTCTGGACACGCTCTTCTGATCTTTGTAGGACACTGCTCTTGTCTTCTGTCGTGGTCTAAGTCTGCAGATGATCTTAAAAGACTATCATTAGTTTATGCTCATTCAATAATTCAAATATGTCCAAAAGTCTTTATACCCTGAAGTTGATCAGTTGGCACAGATCACTAAATGTTCACAGTTAGCGCATATTAATTTCACTAATTGTCACCACAAACTGTTGATAAATGTTAGATTCTCACTGACATACTTTTCTTACAAAGAATGTATGTAGTTCTACTCTACAATCTGAATAGTCATAGTCTATCACATTAATCACTGTTTTTCCTGTCTATCCATTATAAATTGTAAACATTTCGTGACGTAATTAATGTTGATAAACACCACTCCTTCCTTGTCTACACAATACACACGAACTCACCTATACGGACGTATTACAAACATTTAGTAGTACAAGTACTACTGCTGGTACTGACTGGACCCCGTTCTTTTTTATTGACAAGTATTCTTAACCTGAGGCATTCACTTGTGGCTGGTGTGCTGTACGGTTGCCTCGAGTTAGCTGTCGCTGATGACGTTTTATCTGCTACTGTGTTGTACGTGACCGTTTGTTGATGACCTTGCTCGCTGTAACTGAGTGCCGTCTTGGCCCCTGGCCATGCAGTGTTCTTGCGGTGAAATCTAGTCCGAAAATTCGTATCTCTGGTTTATGACCTCTTGTTTGACGAACAAAACCCACGTCAAACAACAGTCACAGGGATACCGTTGCTGACAATTTTCCGTCGTGGATTACCCACCACAAGGGTCAAAAGTTCAGCTTACAGTCTCTTCCAGCGACGAACAAGCGTTCCCGCGGGATGAAACGTGTACAATTTTTTCACACGTGAAGTGAATACATTACCCAGTATTGCTTCGCCGTGTTTCTGCCCATTTTTCTCAGGCTAGCTTGTTTGTTTCAGAATGACTAGAGTCTGGAATTCAGTTGTCCCGGTTTTACTTAATGCCCTTGACAGCATGTCCTGGTCTTACATAATACCCCGACATTTCTTTAAACTCCATCTTCCAACACACATAGTCACTCAAAACTTACGGCTGCCGGTGTTTGCCTAAATTTTACTTCTGTCCACAAAAACACTACGTCTAATGTACTGGCATAGTTATAACATGCCTGCACTGTAACTCATATTTATAACTTACAATGTATTCGCACTTAGGACGGGTCCCCAATGTAATGACTGCCCTTTTGTCTCCTCCACACTGACTATCTGTGGTGCAGAGTTAACACTGGCTCTAATATCTAGAGGTTCACAACTCAATCAACGCAGACATGATCCTCTTCATGGTCACACAACGTCTAACAACGGTTAACACCAGCGGCACATTTCACGAGTTTATTTACACGTTAGCTCAATACACAAATCACAGGTGAATCCACTTACAGCATTCGGACAATAGACGTTGACATATTCACAGCTGGCTTTGACAATCAAACAGGATACCATTCACAGCTGGCCTTCTCGATCATTCATTCCTCGCCGATTCAAATCCACATGCTCTAGTCATTCTCCATTCATCTTCACAGCTTCATTTTCCATCCTTTCTCTCTGGGGCCCAGTCACCGAATGCCCGCCTGATTCTCAATCCCCCAGATCTCCTCATTCGCACGTGACACACTCTTTCCTGTCGTTTCACCATATCTCCGTGAAACCCATGCTCTCAGGGGCTTCCCCAGTTATGCCAATCATCCCCTGACATTATCCCTATTTATAACATCATTACATACTACTACTACTGCTGGTTCTACTTTTACTACTGGTGCTATTGAGGCAGTGGGGGCGCTCAAGGAAATTGCACCTCCAGATTCCGGCGACTATGGTCGTACATAAATGGTAAACAAAGTTTAGGGCAGTCATTCCTCCCCTCCCCCTTAAACAGACAGACGAGCAACATTTAGCTGGATATTGCATACACAAACGGTCAAAGACATAGATTGTAATGAAAGCATAATCCTTATACATGTTTGCCTTTGCAGGAGAACCCATTCCGAAGACGTATCTGCGAGGTGTTCTCCGAAGATGGGACGGGCAACATGTGTTTCGAAGATTTCCTCGACATGTTCTCCGTGTTTAGCGAACAAGCAACTCGAGACGTCAAGTCTGTGTACGCTTTCAAGATTTACGGTAAATAACAGAAACAATGGTTTGGCCATGTAACAAGATTGGCATCAAACAGGGTACCACTAAGAGCAATGTTATACAGATACAGAGGTCGACCACGCAGTTGTAGACCGTAGAAATATCAGACACTGAAAAGTACTTTATACGAAGCCAACAGAAGAGCCCGTTCCAGAGATATCTCTTCTTCCCCTAAAGCTGCGAGGCATTCCAGGAGTAGATGAAAGAAGATGAAAAGAACAGAGATAATAATACGAATAATTTCGTCATCATTTACGGTCTCATTTTCTTTCTTTTCCTATTTTCTTTACAACGACTTTTACATTAATTGTTTTATTTATGTAATGTAAATGTAATCTGTAATTACGTAGTCGACAACTCATCGTCACAGCATGTCAAATCAACTAATCCACAAGTGCCCAGGTCGCCTCTCTTCAACATTTTCCCCCAGCCTGTATAGGTTGACTACTCCCGTTCAGTGTTGGTCTATTTGTTTTATTTTCTTTTGACATAGTGCTCTTGTATGCCCTCACTAAGAAGTCCGTACAACAGATTAATACAAGTACTAATGAACTCAATTCCAAAATTGTTTGACGCTCCCAGTCCATTTTTAAAAACTTCCTTGCACCCCCCCGCTGGCGCGGCCCAAAGTTGAAGACCACTGGATTAGACTAGTCAGTCAACAGGTGCTGTTGACCCAGTAGCAAACTGCATTGTGGGACTATGATAAATTATGCATTTGTAAGTCCTTTAGGGCTCTTTATACAACATTCCTTTCTTGCAGATTTCGACAAGGATAATTATCTGGGTGAACAGGACCTGGTCAATACACTGAAGGCTCTGACACTAGATTCTCTAACGAAAGAGGAAGTGGAATTTGTAGTAAGGAAAGTAAGTGGTAGTTTATCAGCCAATTCTGTGGTAGTTTATCAACCAACTCTGTGGGAGTTTATCAACCAACTCTGTGGTAGTTTATCAACCAACTCTGTGGTAGTTTATCAGACAACTCTGTGGTAGTTTATCAGACAACTCTGTGGTAGTTTATCAACCAACTCTGTGGTAGTTTATCAGCCAACTCTGTGGTAGTTTATCAACCAACTCTGTGGCAGTTTATCAACCAACTCTGTGGCAGTTTATCAACCAACTCTGTGGTAGTTTATCAACCAACTCTGTGGCAGTTTATCAACCAACTCTGTGGTAGTTTATCAACCAACTCTGTGGCAGTTTATCAACCAACTCTGTGGTAGTTTATCAACCAACTCTGTGGTAGTTTATCAGTCAACTCTGTGGTAGTTTATCAACCAACTCTGTGGTAGTTTATCAACCAACTCTGTGGTATTTAATCAACCAACTCTGTGGTAGTTTATCAGCCAACTCTGTGGTAGTTTATCAACCAACTCTATGATTATTTGCATGCTAATATGAACAAGGAAAAGTTAAACCAAAATGTCATAGTACAAAACAAGTTATAAAACAATAAATAAGACGCCATATTGGACACATTGTAAGAAGAAACTAGCATTGCTTCACCAAACAGGCATTAAAATAGAAAATACAGGGACTGGGGAGGCAAGGACATTCAAAAGAACCTTCAGCTCTAGTCATCTGCAGAATTCTCAAATTTACGGTCACACATTATAACTCAACTTTGCGAGGCCACACAGGTGATCGCTGTCAATGGTTGTATTCATTCCTCAAACATCTGACTCGTTAGCCAGTGCACGTTGAAGAAAAAGCACATCTGGGGTAATAATACACTTAGCCGCTAGACAGAGCATCATTTGGACTCATCAAATACACGTTGATGAGGAGATGATAACAATGTTGGAAGACATCAATGTAGACGGAAAAGATCTTAGAATATTTAAAAAAAAAAAGATTTACTGTAACGAAGTAGCAGCAATTGAAGTAGGAAACAGATTGGGTACTTTTAAACAGATAAAGCAAGTAGTAAGGCAGGGATGTGTCGCATCCCCAGACTTTATTTTTTTTTCCCGCTATATAGTAAAATAAATGTGAGGGAAATTAAAGAAAATGCAGGAGTACGCGTTGGAGGAAACAATATAAACAATCTGCATTATGCAGACGATACAGTTTTGATAGCTGAAAATGCAACTGATTTACAACTGCTGGGCATTGTGGAGATAGAGAGTGCTAAAAAGGACTTGGAGAGTGTTAAGAAAGGACTTTTAATTGAATAATATGAAAATGGAAGTAATGGTTATATCGAGGAAGAAGATAACTCCACGTTGTGATATCTCAATTGAAGGAAAAAGACTTAACCAGGTCAATAAATTCAAATATCTGGGAACAATAATATCATCAGATAGAAAATGCGTGACAGAGATTAAAAGCAGAATAGGTCAAGCGAAAGCTGCATTTCAGAAAATGAAAAATATCTTATGCAATACAGCGCTTTCATTTAATGTCAGAAAGAGGGTGCTAAAATGTTACATAGAACCTGTTCTGCTGTATGGCAGCAAATCTTGGAATGTCAGTTAAAAAATAAAAAACAATTTGGAAGCAACAGAGGTGTGGTTTCTGAGACGAATGTTACAAATACCTTGGACAGCCACAGTAAATAACAACGATTGCTTGAAAGAAGCTAATGAAACTAGATCTCTATATACAACAATAAAAAAGAGACAAACATTGTTCTTTAGCCACATAATGAGCAGAGAGACATTGGAGAACATAGTGACAACTGGAAAGATCAGTGGAAAAGGGGGTAGAGGCAGACCAAGAGAGATTCTGCTGGATGGGCTGAAACGATGGCATGGAGGGAATTCATCAAGAGAGCTGTTCCAGTCAACCAGGGATCATGATCTGTGGAGACGCATGAGTGCCTACGCCAGTTGGCAATGCACGTGATGATGATGAAATGAACGTTCCTTTAGTGAACAATACAACAGAATAATCCACACAGACGCTTGGCATTCACAAAGCCTTCCAGACTGACAGCAGTCACAGCCAGCTCCAGATATGAGCACCAACAGCTCAAACGGGAATTCCCGTTTTTATGAGGCTTGCGTGGCCGGTCGGTGGTAATAGTTTTTATCTAGTATATTTATACACAAACTGAACTACAGTTTAATTAATTTGCAACATGTGTTATTGAATGAATAATTATTATAAAGATAAGTAAATGGGCTGTTAGAAAATATTAATCTTCAAAATGATAATTCATTCAATAACACATGTTACAATTTAATTTAATAGTAGTTAAATTTTTGTATAAATATACTCGATAAGTTGTTAACATGCCTATCCTGATGGTAATTTTTTTGATCCAGCCCCATATTATATATATTCTTTATTTTACAAGGTTCTCGAGGAGACAGATCTGGATGACGATGGCATGTTATCATATATAGAATTTGAGCATGTCATCTCAAGAGCCCCAGAGTTTTTAAAGTACGTGTTCAGTAATTGCAATCCCTATTCTTAACTGTTGTGGGTCAAATATGAACGGATCCAAACTTTGTTAAGAAATTTCTTGGCTTCCAGGTTGACCCAGCCTTAACTGGGTCCCAGGTAAAGTCCTGGGAAGTAAAGGCAGCTAGAATGATGTTGATCCCATCACCCACCTAGTGCATAAAATATAGGTCTAACACCATATGCTCATAATGCCTAAAGGTGAGGAAGGAGGTCCCTAACTTTTATTCTCCACTGTCCATGTCTGGGGATGTACTCATAATGTGTGCTGGCATTTAGTTTAGGGTACATGGATAACAGGATATCGCAGTAGCACGGTTGTGATTAGGCTTGTCTGTTAACCTGGTTATGATGAGTTCAAATATGACTCAAGGTGGACATTTAACAACAATCTGACCTGGACACTGGTGTCGTGAAATGATAGCCATTACGCATCGGTCTGTAAGGCTGATAACCTGTCTTACCTGTAATCTGCACAAAATTCAAACTTGGACTAGCCCAGAAATATATAGTCCCTTATATCTATATATATATAGGCCTGTATTGGACAACATTATTATGTCTGCCTTTTCTGGTTACTTTAACTAAACTCCACTTTTAAATGTATATCTCTTGGAGATATATTAAGGGAGTTATTTGAGGTTTCGTGGAAACCGATTTACTCCTTGCCCAAGTATACAAGGGACTTCTTTTGTACCAACGCCTGAAGTGTCTAAGTGACGCTATTCTCCTTGCCAGCTTCTCAAGCGTCCAGATGTGTTAATCTGTGCCTGTATAAATTTCACTTTTCAAGGCAATCTGGAATGTCTCAGTTTTTACATATGCTTGGGATGTATCTTTTCTGAAGAGCTGGCAGAAGATTCACAGTCCAACCAACATTCCACCAACCATCAAACCACCAGAAACAAACTGTGACCCACCAGCTAACACCTGTGAAGGTTCCTGACATCTCCAACATGTGGGAGATGGTACCTCAAACAGCTACCAGTGCAAGAGCTTAGTGTGGCTCAAAGACATTGTGTGTCCTTACTGGTGATAGAGACTTGCTAAATACCGGTACAGTTGCTGTGTCTTCTATGGTGAAGTACTCTTTCACTACCTGATCCAGTTGAGCAGAATTACCAGAGTCAAAGACAGTCGAATCATCAGGAGCTGAGGGAGGCATCATAGACAGAAAGAGGCTAAGTGCAGTTTGATACCTTATGTGCTTTATTCCTCACAGCTCCTAGGTTGTCCAATGATGACAAGATGTCATCTCCAAGACCTTCTGTCTGTGTAGTATCTTTGTGATTTGGACAGGATATCCTGAGATCTAGCCTGGGAGATCTGGCAATTGTCTCACTTTTATATATCTATTTTATATTGATTACATGCATTCATTTTCATGGCTGACTTAGGTGTCTCTATTTCACCTTTTTAAGTGTTTAGCAGTTGTGTATGTATGTATCTTCATTATATGTGTTAACATGGTTATGATAATGAACTATCATAACCTGGGGGCTTTCTTTAGTAAGTAGTGGGGGTGTCCAGCCAAGTGTGCCTAGAGATATTGTATTTATATACTGATATATTTTGTAGTGCCAATACTTGAGTTGCCCTACTCCAGAGATAAGTTGATCGTATATTGGCCACGGGGAATCCCTGAGACCAATACGAGCCAAACGACGCAACATAATTATCTCTGAGTGCTGTTGGTTCTGAAGGAGAAATCCTTACATTAGGCACGCGACAGGAGTGATATGTGACAACTGGGGTCAACTCTACCAGGAAATGTTCTGGAAAATAAAGGTGGCTGGTTTCACTGAGCACATTAAAGTATCATCTTGCTAGGAAAGTAATACTATGTAGATAGTTAAAGTATCATCTTGCTAGGAAAGTAATACTATGTAGATAGTTAAAGTAGCATCTTGCTAGGAAAGTAATACTATGTAGATAGTTAATGTAGCATCTTGCTAGGAAAGTAATACTTTGTAGATAGTTAAAGTATCATCTTGCTAGGAAAATAATACTATGTAGATAGTTAAAGTAGCATCTTGCTAGGAAAGTAATACTATGTAGATAGTTAAAGTATCATCTTGCTAGGAAAGTAATACTATGTAGATAGTTAATGTAGCATCTTGCAGGAAAGTAATACTATGTAGATAGTTAAAGTATCATCTTGCTAGGAAAGTAATACTATGTAGATAGTTAATGTAGCATCTTGCTAGGAAAGTAATACTATGTAGATAGTTAAAGTAGCATCTTGCTAGGAAAGTAATACTATGTAGATAGTTAAAGTATCATCTTGCTAGGAAAGTAATACTATGTAGATAGTTAATGTAGCATCTTGCTAGGAAAGTAATACTATGTAGATAGTTAAAGTAGCATCTTGCAGGAAAGTAATACTATGTAGATAGTTAAAGTATCATCTTGCTAGGAAAGTAATACTATGTAGATAGTTAATGTAGCATCTTGCTAGGAAAGTAATACTATGTAGATAGTTAAAGTAGCATCTTGCTAGGAAAGTAATACTATGTAGATAGTTAAAGTATCATCTTGCTAGGAAAGTAATACTATGTAGATAGTTAATGTAGCATCTTGCTAGGAAAGTAATACTATGTAGATAGTGAAGTAGCATCTTGCTAGGAAAGTAATACTTTGTAGATAGTTAATGTAGCATCTTGCTAGGAAAGTAATACTTTGTAGATAGTTAATGTAGCATCTTGCTAGGAAAATAATACTATGTAGATAGTTAATGTAGGAACTTGCTAGGAAAGTAATACTATGTAGATAGTTAATGTAGCATCTTGCTAGGAAAGTAATACTATGTAGCTAGTCAGTGCAGCATCTTGCTGGGAAAGTAACATGATGTAGGAAGTTAATATAGCATCTTGCTGGGTAAGTAACAATGAAGATACAACAACTTAGAGACGTCATATTAGGAACCATATATGCACTTTAAGTTAAATGTACAAATTTGTTTTTAAGAAATGAGTAGCTTGGATACAGAAAGTTAAAATAATATTCCGCAAGAAACAGCTAGGACTCAGCAGTTGTAGAGAAATCTTAAAGGAAACAGCTAAGACAGAGCAAGTTATAGAGGTATCTTGCTAGGAAACAGACAGGAAACAGCAAGTTATAAAGGTATCTTGCATGTAAACAGACAGGAAACAGCAAGTTATAGAGGTATCTTGCTAGTAAACAGACAGGAAACAGCAAGTTATAGAGGTATCTTGCTAGGAAACAGACAGGTCACAGGAAATTATAGAGGTATCTTGCAAGGAAACAGGACTCAGCAAGTTAAAGAGACATATTGCAAGGAGAAAAAAGAATTAAGTTCAGCTCATATAAAGTTAAAATATGCACTATCTAATAATTGCATGTGTAAGTCTGTGTGCATAACACACACTCATTTAAATTAGAGTAAAACTATCTTTTTTGTTGCAATTAATTTAAGTGTGTTTAATATTTCAGCACATTTCACATAAGGATCTGACTGTGTGTGATTGAAGTTGGTGCTGCAGAAAATCCTTCCAAAAGAAAGTCTGTACACAAATGCAAAGGATCTACTGTGATTGTTCATTCTATACAATGTAACATAGAGATCAAAGATGAACTGTTGTTGTTAACTCTGAAGTGTTACTTAACAGTGAACACAAACAGTACACACTTGATCTGAAGGTGACATTTGACAAACAAGCTGTGGTTCTCCCCATTAAATATCACATTTAGATCAAGGATCTACTGTGATTGTTCATTCTACACAATGTAACACAGAGATCAAAGATGAACTGTTGTTGTCAACTCTGAAGTGTTACTTAACAGTGAACACAAACAGTACACACATGATCTGAAGGTGACATTTGACAAACAAGCTGTGGTTCTCCCCATTAAATATCACCTTTAGATCAAGGATATACTGTGACTGTTCATTCAAGGCAGATAGACTGGCTGGTCCTGCACCACTTGGTGGTAAACTGAGAAATGATAAGCTAGATACTGTGAGGGTCCTTTGGGAGCGAGTAAACAGTGTTTAGGCAAAAAGATAATTATGGTCTGAAGAGAATGGTGCTGCAAGGAGTTACCAAGGGATCTGGCTAAGGCTCAAAACTCAAGGGAACGCCAAGACGCAAATACAAATAGACACTTACAAGCTAAGATTTTCTCCACTGACTCGAAGTCACAGTTACCACCCCATCAAAAACTATATTTTAACACAGATATCAATTCATCAGATATAATTTACATATCTGATTACCACAGAAATAGAATGGCATTGGCCTAGCAACAGTAAACAACCCAGCTGCATTTGACTAAATAAAACAACAAAAACAATAGTCTAAGGAGTCACACAGAAACAGCTTGGTATGAAAATGTATGTCAACAAGCATGTACAGTTTTTATTTAGACACATTTTTATATTTTATATTTAAAAAAAAAAACATAACTTCATAAAACCATCCAGGTAGCACAAAGAGGAGATCAGATTTACACTTTATTCTCAGTTTCAAGTATCTGTCTACATGCTATGGTCATTAAAAACCAAAAACTATACTGTAATATTGATTATCATTATTTCAGCAATTTAAAGCAGCAAGGAATCATGAAAGTTACTGGCTAAGAATCAATCAATCAAAAAAGCTGCTAGCCAAGAATCAAGTCAGGAAGAGAGCTTCAATAGTAAATCCGCTCTCTCGTCAATTTTCTGTAGCAGCAAGTTGACCAATGGCTGTACAAAGTCACCCTGAAATCAGTGAGAATATGGCTCAATTATTCACTCAGCCACGTCTTTTAAATCTGAAGGAAACATAAAACTACATAGCAAGGCTATTCAACTAGCCCACGTATAATTGACAATTGTATGGTATGAATGATCTTTCCACACTGAGAGTCAGGTCTCTGTCCTATGATGATCCCAATTTTAAACTGTATGGCCTCTAAGTAAACTTAGTTGAATAGCCCTGCTATATAGCAAAATAGTAAAATCAGCACCTATTTATTTAAAGTTAAAGACCCTTTCCATGTGAGATGCAGATGGAGCATATGATGGTAGATATATATGTGAATTATGGATATCTGTATGTAAATCAAAAGGTGACAATACTTCATAACTTGGCTGACATATTAAAACAGATACTGTATTTTGTTGTTGGAGTCTATCCTCATGATGTTTTAGATGACAAATTACAAATTTAGATAATTTCAGAGACTACCAGATGCTTCCAGCTCAGTGACAATACAAAATCACACTTTCAATGAGTATAGTACATAATTCCACCTACTTTCCTGTCCAACAGCTTCTCACATTTCTGCAGCCATCGTTTGTCCAACTTTTTATTTTCCTCTGAAAGTGACTCCTGCACAGGAGATGGAGAAAATTAGACACTGCATGCAAAAATACATTTTCCTGGCAAATATTCCCATCAAAGGGTGAAATAATATGATTTTGCAAACAATATAGCCTGCATTATGAGATAAAAAGTCCAGTTTGTTTACTCATCACATACATTCCTAGTAGAGATTTGTTTTCATGGTTGGTTGGTTTTTGTGGAAGACCAAACAAACAATATAGCCTGCATTATGAGATAAAAAGTCCAGTTTGTTTACTCATCACATACATTCCTAGTAGAGATTTGTTTTCATGGTTGGTTGGTTTTTGTGGAAGACCCAAAAAACACATGCAGAAGGGAGCTAGAGAGTGACGTTACACAAATGGGAAGGATATGGGGAGAGCTAGATGCGATAGCGAAGAATAGAATGATGTGGTGTGAGTTGGTTGAGGGCCTATGCTCCACAAGGAGCTAGAAAGGCAGAAGAAGAAGAGATTTGTTAGGACAGGTATTACTTGTGGCTGAAAGATATCTTCTATCTTCAGCAAGAAGACCAAGGATTCTTGAAGTGGTCAATTTGAAATTCTTTATTGTCTAGTGTTTACTCTATCAATAGCCTATTTCTGGATTTCTTCTCTACTATTTGAGTTATTATTTCTCACTGGTTTAATTATTGAGTCATTCAACTGACCTCAGGGATTTCTCATTTTCCCTTTTTTCCTGATTCTGTGTACATTTTATTCACATGACAGCACAAACATTTTAAATGATAAAATGAACTCAATTAAAACAGAACAGAAAAATACTGCACAATGTTGTCTGTAGTATTTCACATAACAAGAAAAATTAAAAGCAATACTGTTTTGAAGTAGATAAAAAACAGATTATACCTGACAATCTCTGTCTCCATCTGCACTCATGATATCTTCGAGGTCAGAATAGCTGAGATTGAGAATATCTCGTGCTCTGTCCTGAGCCTTTTGGAGAGACAAGTCACCTTCTCGTGGTGTCTGCTCCTCAGCCATCTTCACCTCCTTAAACTTTAAACGAGCATCATCCACCCGACTGAGAAGCTCTGAGGTCAGGATCTGCAATGAATAGTTCCTGTTTATCATTTTTTCAATACAAGCTATACATTTCTTCTTCTTCTTCTCTGCAATCATTGGCTGTCAACTCTGGTGGACAGTTCTGGTTGTTCATCCACTTGTGGTTTTTAGTCTTGTTCCAGAACCTGAGTGTTGAGTGCATTTCCATTTTACAGATCAAGCTTTTTTTTTTAAACTCAGACTGTTAGTTCCTTGCCTCTCGAGCAGATGCACTCCAGTTCTGAATGAAACATCCCTAAATAGTCAACTTGTATGACATGCTTGTTGGGGCAGTGGGTCTATTCTTTTTGTTTTAATGGGATCTAGAATCCACACATTTAAAAGTGAAAGAGAAAACAAACATCAGAAAGTGCAATCAAATTATTTCTGTGGTCATGTCAACAGAAGGAGAAAACTGGAGTACACTGTGATAACAGGAAAAATTAAAGGGTGATGAAAGGAAGGGAGGAGGTGAAGAGAGAGAGAGAGAGAGAGAGAGAGAATGTTGGATAGTCTGACATCGTAGCATTGAAAACATCAGGAATTACATGTGAGAGAAGGCTTTGGTCAGACTTGATGACTAACAGTAAACTGTATGGACTATAGGAAGAAAAAATGATAACCTTAGAAATGACATTGATTGGAATTGACAATCCCATCTCATCTTTAAATGTTCATAATATACTACAGTCAGCCCCCCAAAAAAACTAGCAATTACTGCCTCTATTTTACCATTTTGCTATGTAGGCAGGAACAGTAAATGGTACGGATTATAAGAAGAACAAATGATAACATTAGAAATGTCAATGGAATTGACCAATCCTATCTCAGCCAAAAAAATTATCACTTTTGCGGTGTAGGCGGAAAGGGGGGGGGGGTGTCTTTGAGCCGCATAGCTAGTGCTGTCGCCATGGACTGTGCAGGTAAGGATTTTATTTTATCCCCCAAAAGAAAAAACCCCCAGCTTTACTGAGGATTCAAACCCGGGTCTCCCGCATGAGAGCCCAGAATTCTAACTGTTCGGCTAGCTGCTCCTCACTACAGTCAGTCAGCACTTGATCAATGTTTCTTGTTACTTGGTCAATGCTTGGTTAACATAGGTTTCTGAAACATGGTGCTATTTCAATGGGTAGATATCAATTCTGTTAACACTAGATATGGATATGAATTATGCCAAATGAGAGTTCAGGTGGATGATTAACTTTGTTAATGAGACAACTTTCAAGGCTGTTTATGTGACAAAATATGTTCACTCCTACAGGAATGAACTGTCATCACGTTGAGGCAGTAGGTTCAAATCCCAGTTTGGTCACTTCTTCTTCAGCTGTATTGTCCCTTAAAAGGGTGGTTGATACTCTGTGCTGAGGTCAGAGTGTCAACCAGAACAAGAGACTAGGAACTCTGTGTTGTGGTCAGTGTCAATCAGAACTAGAGACTGGAAACTCTGTGTTGTGGTCAGTGTGACAACCAGAACTAGAGACTGGAAACTCTGTGTTGTGGTCAGTGTGACAACCAGAACTAGAGACTGGAAACTCTGTGTTGTGGTCAGTGTGACAACCAGAACTAGAGACTGGAAACTCTGTGTTGTGGTCAGTGTGACAACCAGAACTAGAGACTGGAAACTCTGTGTTGTGGTCAGTGTGACAACCAGAACTAGAGACTGGAAACTCTGTGTTGTGGTCAGTGTGACAACCAGAACTAGAGACTGGGTGTTGGAAATCCATTCTAGCCATCTTTTATTGTGGAAATAGTACCTGACTGGTTTAAATACTTGGGGCAGTTTTCAACCATACCTTCAGAACCGTGTAGAACTGTGTTAATCTAGTCTGAGACTCAAACAGTTTTTCTCTAGCAACATCAATAGCTGCCTCAGACTGGGACGCCAGGCCATGAAGTTGGTGTTTTGCTGATGCCTCCAGATCAGCCAGGGCCGTCTCCAGACTGACTCTCTGAGTGCAAGCTTCCTGCAACTGCTTGGTCTGAAACAAAACATGGGAACCCAAGATAATATCATTGTACACTGATGAATATAAAGATTACTAATTACAGGTCTGCTAAAATCAGATCTATTGGAAAGAAAGACAAGGGTCTCAGCCTAGCTGTAAACCACAACAGAAATGGGCTGACTGTCTATTTAACACTAAAGAAGATGATAGCAGAATAATATGTTATTTTTTTTTTTAAAATCCCCATTTTAAAATTAATCTGTAATTTCTGTGAAATATCAGACTGTATACAAGCAATGCGACTAGTCCTACTAAATCTTTCAGGCCTAAGCAATGCTGTTTGTGTTGATGAAAAGTTACGATTTGACTAAACCATACAGTCTGTGTTGATCATGTGTCATGTACATAGTGATTCACATACTGCTCCATATTTGTCTTTAACTCTTTGAGTCCCAAGGAACGCATCATCGTTTATAGGTTCTTACCTAGAAGCCCAATGAACCCATGATGCGCCGATTTTATGACTCTCTTTAATACCCCCTGGGCCTGTGATGCAAAACCCCCTGGGACTCAAAGAGTTAATATTCAAAACTGCCATTTAAAAATTTACGGAAGGTTACTCTAATGTTTTTACTTTGTTTACAAGTCTTAATTTATACATTGAGGCACAGATTAGCTGATTCAATGCTAACATAATTTTCAGACAGTAAATTTTCTGATTTGATATTCCACTGGACACAGATACCTTTTGTTCCAAACACAAGCACAGGCTGCATTTTGCACTTTCTGCTGCTGAAGCTCTGCAGTTATTTCAGTCAGATGTTTTTAATGTTGATAACATGGACATGGAACACAGAATAAACCTATTATTTTAAAAATAGACACTACAAGATTCTTTTCCACTGACAGGATTTGAGACAAGTATTTTTCTCACTTTAAGATCCAGCTCCAGGGACACCTTGATCAACTTCTCTTCATATTGCTTCTTCTCCTTCATGATCGCTGTCAGTCTATTCTTGAGAGATTCCAGCTGAAATGTTCCAAATTCAAGTTGTCAGACTTTTATTCAGTATTTATCACTGTACAGAATCAGCAGTTAGAAAGTGGAAGAATGGGCCTCAGTTTGAATAATGGGAAGACAGAAGTAATGGTGGTATCAAAGAAACGAATTATTCCTAAATGTGTAATAAAAGTCGATGGCGTTATTTTAGGACAAGTACAGAAATTTTAAGTATCTGGGCACATGGATAACATCAGATGGAAAATGCATAGCTGAGATAAGAAACAGAATAGGACAGGAAAAAAACTGCGTTTTATAAAATGAAAAACATCTTATGCAATATATCCTTGTCATTGAGAGTGAGAAAAAGAATTCTTGCTTGCTACATACATCCAGTTTTAACATATGGCTGTGAATCCTGGACAATGGGTAGGCAGGCCAACAATTTCTAGAGGCCTCAGAGATGTGGTTTTACAGAAGAATGCTTAGAATACCTTGGACAGCCAAAAAGAGCAACCAAGAGGTTTTGAAAGAGGCGGGAGCCCGAAGACAACTTATCACAGACATCAGAAGGAGACAGTCATCATTTTTCGGCCATGTTATGAGAAGAGGAAAAATAGAACATGTTGTGACCTCTGGAAAGATCTGTGGAAGGAGGGATAGAAGAAGACAACGAGAGAAGATGCTTGATAGCCTTGTTGCATGGCATAAAGGTGTGTCGGCACACAAACTGATACATGCTGCAGGAGATCGCAGATTATGGAGTGGTATGATCGCCCAAGCCAGTCGACAAGGCACCTGATGATGATGACAGAATCAGCAATATGTCAGTTATAAACAACCCTTTTCACACCAGCAGATGACTTTAAATATTCTTTCTTCTATGGACATTTTATGTGGTTTTTGTTGGCATAGGAACAGAGCAACTATAGAGTGACCCATCTGCTATGACATAGGAACTGTGATTATCTCCCCTTACCCTGACCTCTTTTTTTTTTCAGTCCAGTGGTCAATTTAGGCACAAGATGCAAGATCCATATTTGTACAGACCACTGAGCACTAGATCTGTTATATTATTTACATCACATCAGCTGTCTTTACTTTCCACTTCCTGGTACGTATTTAAGACATGCATACACATATATAAAAGTTAAAAAAAGTAATTAAAGGACCCTTTTCCAGGCCTTTAGGCTTACTGAGTACATAGAGCTAGACATATATTTTATAGACCAGCCGTCACTTGGTGGGTGATGCAGTCAGCATCACGCCGGCTACCTCTACTCCCCAGGATTGCACCTGGTACCCACTCAAGGCTGAGTCAACCTGGGAGCCCAGGCCATTTATGAAAAAAAGTATCAGAACCCGAACCCATGACCATCCGATCCGCAGGTGAGCGTCTAGCCGCTACACCACGGCAATGTATATACACATATATACACTCATATAAACACCCACACATTCATACATCCATGTACATAACACCAGCACATATACAAACACATACATTCACTCACATTCATACATACCAAAACACTAATACACTCACTATTCACACACTCATACATACGCATACCTATACACCTATACACACACCTATACATACACCTATACACGCACCTATACATACACCTATACATACACCTATACACACACCTATACATACAGATACTATCTTTACCTCCCACTTTCTGGTACTCATTTAATACTAAACCAACCTGGCAGCAAGTGACTTATAAAATAATTTGCCAACACGAACAATAAGAAATGTAAAACAAGAATTTACTTAATTAATCTTAATTAATCTACTTAAGAATCTTTACTTAGAGGTAGTGCAACACTTGAAAACACTGTGTTACCTGAACCTTCATTTTATTATTGGTGTCTGTCAACAGTTTCTGTTTCGTCTGAAGATCCTCCTAAATAAATACAAGAATAAATTCATTCAGACTCAGAACAAGGAAAATACACCAAATATTGTTGTATGATTCTAGAAACAACACGACACAGGTCCTTCGATGAGTTCTATATGAATTTTATTGTAATTAGCCAAAAATTGCAGATCTTAACACATTCCTGGTGTTAGAATTCATTAATAATCATCATCAGGTTGTAGGTCTTTCATAGGACATCACTCTTTGAGTCCCAAGGAACACATCACTCTTTGAGTCCCAAGGAACACATCACTCTTTGAGTCCCAAGGAACACATCACTCTTTGAGTCCCAAGGAACACATCACTCTTTGAGTCCCAAGGAACACATCACTCTTTGAGTCCCAAGGAACACATCACTCTTTGAGTCCCAAGGAACACATCACTCTTTGAGTCCCAAGGAACACATCACTCTTTGAGTCCCAAGGAACATATCACTCGCTAATCAGTTCCTACCCAGCTGTCCAATTGGTGTGTGACTTGTACTGGTTTTTAATTACCACTGACCAGTATAACAGTCCAAACTGGCAGTTTTGAATGTTATTTCCTGTTCTTTGTGTCCGATGTCACAAGTGCTGACCAAAAATATGATTAAAAGCATAAAATGTAGCATTTTTGTGAGCTTTACTGAATTACTACTGTCTGTGTAACGTAGCCTTTGAACAGATTCTTTATGCATGCCAACAAGATTTATGACTTTAGAAGCTTCATATTTAAATAAAACACGCATCTGTCAGATTTATCCAAAACTACCTACATGTTTCAATCATACATAGAGTCACACTTTGAAGGAGATAGCTCTGATATATACCTCACACAAAGCGTACAATGATAAGAAAGTATGTTGGTACAAAAAATTAGCAAAAAAGGCAATATTCCTCAGTGTCAGTTGGGTCTAGTGCTATTTCCTTATTATTTGGGAACATAGGCTGTAAATTATGGGCAAACTGAGTGGTTTATGAAGTACATTTGTGTGCTGTATGTGTGTGTGTGTGTGCGCGCGCATGTGTGCATGTGTGCGTGTGCACATTTGTGTGGTGTGTGTGTGAGCATGCAAGCGTGTGTGAAAATACTAACTGTTTTGAGAAGTCATTTTTCTTTACCAGAAGAAAACAAACGGTGCTCTGGTATGATGTTCTAAAAGTTCCTCTGAAATGAGATCTAATGGACAGATTGTGTTTTATTTTATTTATGCATTACTAAGTGGTTCATGTTTATTTGTGCCTCATTTTGGATATATTTCATCAAGTTTTCCTTGAGTGCCATGGTGGCAAATGGAAAAATTATTATTTCATTTTACTAATTTCTCTAAATATACCATCTGTTTTTTTTACTGATAATTAACTACCAACACAATTTATTTTTGTAGCAGTATTCTAATATTATTCCCAAACAACCCCTGGATTTTGGTGCAAACTTCAACTTCTCCAACATGCTGAGGGAGGAAATACAATCCAGAATACAATCTGAAAATAAAGTATACTATGCCCTGTAGCATGTGTTGAAATCAAAGTTCTTGCAACAGCAAGATACAAATATATAAAACGTTGATAAGACCAGTCATTTTATATGGCTCTAAATCTTGGAGCACAACTAAAAAAGATGAAGCCTTATTACAGGTTTTTGAAAACAGAGTCTTAATACAAATCTTTGGACCCATCAAAGATGCAAACAGCAGGAAATAGAGAGTGAGAAAGAAGCAACAATGAAATTCATAATCTGTTTAAATTATCACTAATCACTAGCATCATGAAAGCTAATAAACTGAAATGGCTGGGGCGTATTAAGAAAATGCCAGATCACAGTGAGGTAAAAACTTTATACACAAGGAAGGTGAATGGTCGTAGACCACGAGGCAGACCAAGAAGACGATGGAGAGATAATATCCAGACAGACGTGCAAACACTTGGTGTCACCAATTGGAAAGAAAAGGCCAACTAGAGAGATGAGTGGAGGCGGGTGATATCTGCAGCAATGAACCGCAGGGCCTTGGAATACTTACGAAGAAGAAAAATCCCTGGCCACCTTGATGTATAATATGTGTATGTTGCTCGGTAGTTGAAATAGTATGGTCTGTTTTAATGTCAAACACTCGTGACTTTTCAAAATTGCATTACCACCCCTAGGGCCTCTGATACTAAACCCCTGGGACTCAAAGAGTTAACGTGTTTCTTCTCAGACGCTCAGCTCTTAACCTCACTGCAATCATTAGTTTCTTTATTCTGAATCTTTTCTGATTTTCTCATTACATGCAACACTGTCCAAGGCATCCTCTTTCTATGAATTCATCTCAATACACATATCATTCATGTCCCACTTGTACCCCTTTGTATATCTCAACAGAGGTCGACCTCATCTTCTACACATCTGTAATTCATTATAGAGGATATCTTTAGGGACTACCAGTAAATATAAGTTCTTTATTACTCCATCATAAATATCTTCATTAGTTCATCATAAATATCACTTCTTTATTAATTAGTTCATCTAATATATAAATCAGGTAATGTTTGTCCAAGAAATACTCAGCATAGGCTGAAAGAGATTTAATAAGTTAAGGTTGCATAGTTGAAAGCACCCACATTCTGCGATAGATTTAACTAGAATTCTACTGCAAACTGACTAATAAAGATTTCAGACTGGGCCCTTATTTGAAAGAATAATGGTTGTAAGTTCAGAAGCTGGCTATTTACTTCATTTCACAATGCTCTGCCCTCCTATAGGTGAAGCCTTCTAGAAGGTCTCCAGACAGGCACTTAGACATATAACAGACAGACAGGTAGACCATAAGTGTATACAGGCATTATGTATAATAATGTATTGATCTGCACTCATGGAAAGTAGAAAGAAAGAAGGACACTAGACAACATGACAATTAAAAGCTATAGTTAACATGTTAGGGGACAAACCTGTCACCTTCAAATCAGACCTGCATCTTGGTGCAGGAACAAGAGCAGTCAGATGCATGACCAAATCAAAGAAAGGACCATTTCCCACGCCTTCAGCCATATTGGGCATACAGATCTAGACCTATATTTTACGGACCAATCAGCACTCAGTCGATGATATGGTCATGATTACGCTGGCCACCTTTACTTCCAAGATCTTTATCTGGTAACTATTTAAGGCTGAATCAACCCTGGAGCCGAGGTCATTTTTTTTGTCTTAAGTCTGGCTCCATTCAGATTTGAACCCACAACCTTCAGATCTGCATTCCCCTCATGACCAAGAGACACCCTAAAAAGGTGTCTTAACTAACCATATCATACCATATAGGCATTCAAACAAAGAAATGAATGGAATATGCTGACACACAATTCTAGGAGGAAAGTGATTTAAACTCCAGACTTACAAGATTCTCTGCATCTGCTTTACTAACATCTTGCACTTGTTTCAGCTTGACTCTTTGACTTTCCAGCAAGTTTCTTTTCTGAGTGATGTCTCGCTCCAGGTGGTTAATTCTATGCAAGATAATCAACACATTCAGCTGATCCCCATGACAATGATGAAATATATCATGAAAACAAATGACAGTAGTTTATAGGAAGTGCAGCTGATTGGCTAAACATAGTTCGCTGGGAATAGTGTATAACTAAGAGAGATCAATGTAGCAATTGCCCACTTAGAGAGAATGCCTTGTGATGACATACTATACAACGCATAGACTAAATGAGGAGAAAGGATGTAGAGCATGAGGTAGAACAAGAACAATATGGAAAGATAACAACAGAGAAACTCTACAACACAATCATGTTTCTATGGTCAAGGTGGCCAGAATAGTAACAACTAGAACCTTGTTTCTCCCTCAACACCTAAGCAAAACAAGAAGAGGTGAAGAAGAAGAAGAAGAAGAATGTGGCAATCAGCCAGGAAGATCACACAACTAATGTCGAAAAAATGTAACAATGACCCAGAGAAACTGTATTACTAAAACAGAAAGAACAAACAACTAAAAACATCAGTACTGTAAATATCACATTTAGAAAACAGTTAATCGATAAATATTATCATTATATTACTAAACTCAACACAATGAAGCAATGAGGTAAATATCATTATCAACATTATAATGTCCTATTTTGCTGTTAAGCATTGTGGGGGGACACAGTGTGTGATCTCTACTTGATGGGTAGCTATGGCTACTGACATTCCGTGTTGATGTAGAAGGTGTTCAATGTTATCAATCCATCTTTTCCTAGGCCGACCTGTTGCTTTCACATTGGATTTTTTTAATGCTTAGCACATGTGTTGCTAGTTGTTTTGGCTGCATTCTAACAAGATGACCAAACCCTCTGATCTTTTGTTTCTCAATAACTCTGGCGGAGGGTGTTGTTCCAATAGTCTGACAGACAGCAGTATAATTTTTCACTTTGTCTTTGACAGTTGAGTTTGCAGCTTCCCACAGGCATTTCATTTCACAGGTGTTAATGTTGTGTAGGTTAGCCTTTCATAATGTCCACATCTGGCACTGGTAGCAGAGTGTTGGTATAAATATGCTGTTTATAACCTGTTTGTTGGCACTCATACTTATGTTTGGGGTCTTAATAATAGCCTCAGTTGGTATATAAGTGCACTGGCTCATTGGCATCTTGTGAGTGCACTGTATAATAAAAAGAGAGCTAATTTCAGCTAAGGTACATCACATTAATAGGTTACTAACAATAATAGTAATAATAATGACAACATCATTGAGATTACCTGTCGTGTAAGGTCTTAACCTGGTCATGAAGACTTTCATTTTCTGTCTTCACTGCTTTCATTGCCACAGACTGCTTTGATGCCTCATTCAAAGCTACCTGTTATAATGGATGGCCACTGTTTTTATTGTTACGGACTAGATATTACACAAAAGGAAAAAAAAGAACCTGTTACATCATCATCATTAATCAGCAAGTCCTTTACAGAACATCGCTCTCTTCATGGCATGCCTGAAAGTATTCCTTTCCCTAGCCAGCTCTCTGGCCCAAGTGCTTTCAATGCCAATGCATCTTCAATGTCTTGTATCCATCTTCACGGTGGTCGACCCCTGCCTCGCCTTACACAAAGTGCATCCTCCATCACTGTCTTTTCCAAGCCACCATGACGCTTGATGTGGCAAAAATACTTCAACTTCCTGGCCAGGATGCTGTTTATGAGCCAGTTCTCCTTGATGTTCAACTCGCTCTGAATGTCAATGTTACGTGGACCTGTTACATTATATACTAAATGTTCACCGACTGTTTCACCAAACACTTTTTTTTTTAATTCTAGAAGTGTTAAATAATAGATGTTTTGGACAGAAATAATTACAATGAAATCTGTTTGGGAGAGACAGGCATTAAACTGTAAGTATGTTAGATAAGCGAATGTTCTTTTTTGAACTAATAAAACCAAGAAAACTTTCTTTTTTTGAACTTCTTCTTCTTCTTCGCTTTCACCAGCTATACACTCTGGCGGAAAGTTCTGGTTGCTCGTCCACTACTGAACTGCAGTCCTGCTCCAGAACCTGAGTGTTTTTGTGTGCATCAGTTTTACAGATCTCATTCTCTTGAATACAGACTGTTGGTTCCTTGCCTCTCCGGCAGATGCACTCCGACTTCAAAGGAAACTCCTCAATTAGTCGACTCTTACGACATGCTTTTGGGGAGGCAGTGGGTCTATTCTTGTTTTCTCCACAATGGGGCCCCGGAACCCACACAGGTTTTTTTAAAACTAATATAACCTTTGATGTTTTAATATAAATCTGACTCAGACATAAAAAGTGAAAGAAATTTACAAATTCTCAACATTAAGACTTCTCAAAGAAATCTTGACACTCCGGATTACCTTCAGTTTTGCTTCTAGAATTTTTATTTCCTGTACGTCTGCTGACACTTCAGTTTTTGTGTCAGCCTTGTTTGACGATGAACCATCATCCAAAACTTGTTTTTCTGTCTGCAATTTCTCCAGGTCTACTTGTAGCTTCTGATCAGGAAATAATAACAATATTTCAGTGGAATACAGCAGAGAAGACATTATGATGGTCAATATATTAGTGATCAGAATAATTTGTGTATGCAGCTGAGTCAGAGAGAGAAAAGACCCATACATGTATGTTTAATATGATGTCATGGCTTGAATATGGGTAGTTTATTACTGTATTTACTTTAATGGGTTCTGAAAGATAAGCATACTATACACACGTGTTCAACAAAATATGAAAACTACACATGTGTTGTACAAGATAAGAACCAAATGCATGTTAGACAATATAAACAATGTACACAGGTGTGTTGTGTATGATAAATAAATATACACAAATAGTTTTTTGATGTTACACAGCATGCGACCTGAATTGACCTCTCTAAAGCAGCAGACATCATAAAACAAAACTATACCTGAATATGTTGCTTGGCAGCTTTCAATCTGCCGTAAGCTGAAGAAAGTTCCACTTTCAGTTTATCTACTGTTTCTCTCAATGACTCCTCTGATTGTGCAGCAGACGCCTTAGCTTTCTTCAGCACCGATACCTGCTGCTGAAGGCGGGACATCCTCTGTCGGAGAGCTGCCATTGATCTACTTTCGGCAGTTCTTCGAGCTGAGTGATTGGTGGATGCTGCTGACGTGAGACAGGGAGGTGGAGGTGTTGTTGTAAACGCTGCTGGTTGACTTGTCAGTGGTGATAAAGATGATGATGTGGGATTGATGAATGCAATGGGTGAAGTGGCAAATTCTCTTTGTGCCCCTGGGAACAGAAGTGGACAAACACCATGGTAAAGATCAATAAAGATTCACTATAACATTTTTTTATAGTAACATTCAAAAGACACAACAGGAAAAACTCATTGTAACATATTTATATAGTACCATTCAAAAGACACAACAGGAAAAATTCATTGTAACATATTTATATAGTACCATTCAAAAGACACAACAGGAAAAATTCATTGTAACATATTTATATAGTACCATTCAAAAGACACAACAAGAAAAATTCATTGTAACATATTTATATAGTACCATTCAAAAGACACAACAGGAAAAATTCATTGTAACATATTTATATAGTACCATTCAAAAGACACAACAAGAAAAATTCATTGTAACATATTTATATAGTAACATTCAAAAGACACAACAGAAAAAATTCATTGTAACATATTTATATAGTAACATTCAAAAGACACAACAAGAAAAATTCATTGTAACATATTTATATAGTACCATTCAAAAGACACAACAGGAAAAATTCATTGTAACATATTTATATAGTACCATTCAAAAGACACAACAAGAAAAATTCATTGTAACATATTTATATAGTAACATTCAAAAGACACAACAGGAACAATTCATTGTAACATATTTATATAGTAACATTCAAAAGACACAACAAGAAAAATTCATTGTAACATATTTATATAGTACCATTCAAAAGACACAACAGGAAAAATTCATTGTAACATATTTATATAGTAACATTCAAAAGACACAACAAGAAAAATTCATTGTAACATATTTATATAGTACCATTCAAAAGACACAACAAGAAAAATTCATTGTAACATATTTATATAGTACCATTCAAAAGACACAACAGGAAAAATTCATTGTAACATATTTATATAGTAACATTCAAAAGACACAACAAGAAAAATTCATTGTAACATATTTATATAGTACCATTCAAAAGACACAACAGGAAAAATTCATTGTAACATATTTATATAGTAACATTCAAAAGACACAACAAGAAAAATTCATTGTAACATATTTATATAGTACCATTCAAAAAGACACAACAGGAAAAATTCATTGTAACATATTTATATAGTAACATTCAAAAGACACAACAAGAAAAATTCATTGTAACATATTTATATAGTACCATTCAAAAGACACAACAGGAAAAATTCATTGTAACATATTTATATAGTAACATTCAAAAGACACAACAAGAAAAATTCATTGTAACATATTTATATAGTACCATTCAAAAGACACAACAGGAAAAATTCATTGTAACATATTTATATAGTAACATTCAAAAGACACAACAGGAAAAATTCATTGTAACATATTTATATAGTAACATTCAAAAGACTCCACAGTAAAGATTCATTTCAACTACAGAGTTTGAACAAACAATACATAAACGGTGCATACTACTGTAACCTGCAGCCTAAAGGATATGCTCTTCACCTGGGTTTACCCTGGTGAAACAGACAGTTCTTGCATGTAGTCGATTCCTGTGTTTCAGTTCGAAGGATTCACTTATTTGCTTCATTTTAATCAATTGTTACTGTAGTATGCACAGCAAAAAAATTGGGCAACTTATTGTTTGTGTCTTCAAAGATTGCTTTGATATTTATATAGTAACATTCAAAAAGCATCCCAGAAAAGCTTAACTGTAACAAATTGTATACAGTAACATTCAAAAGGCACTACAGTAAAGATTAAATGAAACATATTTAGATGGTAATATTAAATGAACTTGATATTTCTTTCACTCTCTGTGTGGGTTCAGGGGGCCCCATTTTGGGGAAAAACTATAGACCCACTGCCCCCCTCAATCAGCGCATCATAAATGGCAACTAATTAGGGCCCAAATGTGCAGGCATCACAGCCTAGCTGTACACCACAACACAATATGCAAACTGCCCCTTTAAGAACAAATGAAGAGGAGAAACAGTGATTTATGAAGAGGAGAAACAGTGATTTATGAAGAGGAGAAACAGTGATTTATGAAGAGGAGAAACAGTGATTTATGAAGAGGAGAAACAGTGATTTATGAAGAGGAGAAACAGTGATTTATGAAGAGGAGAAACATTGATTTATGAAGAGGAGAAACAGTGATTTATGAAGAGGAGAAACAGTGATTTATGAAGAGGAGAAACAGTGATTTATGAAGAGGAGAAACAGTGATTTATGAAGAGGAGAAACAGTGATTTATGAAGAGGAGAAACAGTGATTTATGAAGAGGAGAAACAGTGATTTATGAAGAGGAGAAACAGTGATTTATGAAGAGGAGAAACAGTGATTTATGAAGAGGAGAAACAGTGATTTATGAAGAGGAGAAACAGTGATTTATGAAGAGGAGAAACAGTGATTTATGAAGAGGAGAAACAGTGATTTATGAAGAGGAGAAACAGTGATTTATGAAAAGGAGAAACAGTGATTTATGAAGACAAATCAAAGCAAAAGTCTAGTGACCAAGCTGGGACATTTCACCCTGCCATGTCAAGACATGAGGATAAGATTTTTTACCGTGATCCACTGGACAACTAATCCACAGAGGTAATTTTGTGTGACCGGCTGCTCTTTCTGATATCCGTTTATTTGCTGTTGTCCGTACAGGTCGATGTATTGGGATTCTATGTGGCTAAAAACAGAAAGGCAGATTTTTATATTAGCTTTGATAAAATATTTAAAAAAAACACATTAGTATGAGATCACTTATGTATTATATTAGAATGGAAAGTGATAAATTAAATTTAGGACATCAATGGTTCACAGATGTGACACACACACACACACACACACACACACAAAAGATCCTAATTTTATTTATCATTATTAAGTGCCTTGTCTGATGTGCCAACTGGCATGGGGGATCATTCTCCTCCACAACTTGTGATCTTGGAAAGCCTATATCAGTTATTTTGCTGTCATCTCTCCATGTCATAACAAAAAAATGTTTTTAGTCTTTTCATATGCCCTCTTTTATCCCTTTTTGTCCTGGGTAGTTAGCATCCTTTGGATATTTTCTCCTGGTTATGTCGATGTGTTGGGAAATGAGCAGGCAGGAAGATAGACTAGACGGTTTGGTGAACTGATGTAGGACAAGCTAGATATTGTGAGGGCCCTTTGGGAGTGAGTGAACAGAGCCAAGGCACCGATAGATCATTACGGTCTGAGGAGAATGGTGCTGCAAGGAGTTACAAGGAGATCTGGCCGACGCTAAATCGTCATGACACGTACTTTGGTTTCTGTAAAGTAGCCATTCTGTGTCCTGAAATGATTTGTTTCTCTTCTGCATGCTGTTTCACGCAGACTAGGATACAACTGAATTGTAAATCTTTGCTTGCTGCTGAAGATGGGGATGGAGCATTTATGGGGGTGTCCTGAGTGCAGTTATGTCGGTTCTTAATTCAACATTCTTCCATCTCTTTCAACAATTCTTTGCCATTATCACAACATGTTCCAGTTTCTTTCTTCACATGCGCCAGAAATGATGACTGTTTCTTTCTGATGACTAATAAGTTGTCTTTGGGCCCTCACCTATTTCAAAACCTGGATTTCTCATTTTAGCTGTCACAGTATTTTAAACATTCTAATGTAAAACCACATATCTGAGGCTTCAAGTAATTGTTTAACTTCTTTACTAACAATTCAGGATTCATGGCCAAATGTTACATCTGACTCTATACAGCATGCAAGCCTTCTTTTTCTAACCTCCCATTAAACTAATTTATTCTTGATTTCCCTAACTAAACAATATTTTCTTTAAAATAAGTCAAGTACCCTTTTCCTACGCCAGGCGTATCGGGTATTTAGAGCTAGACCTAGATTTTACAGATCAAACTGGCTGCCTTTACTTCTCAGGACTGCACCTTGTACTCATTCAAGGCTGGGTCGACCTAGAAGCCAAGCTCATTTTTATTTGAAAAGTCCGGCCCCAGTCAGGAAACAAAACCCTGACCTTCCGATCCGCAGGCGAGTGTCTCGCCACTAGACCATGGCAGCTCCATTATTTGCTTTATGAAATAATATATTTCTGCAACATTACATCAAGCAAATATTGCTATGTTGGAGAATATTTAAATATATATATATACATATTGATAACCACACAGAAAAACCATGATAAAAGGTCGACTCTAGAATTCTGTTATGTGTAGCTGCAGAAGGCATTCAGACTAATATCATCAACCAGCCAGTTGAACTGGACTGACTTTCTACCCCACTAGGACATCACACAAGCGATAAACAACCGATGACAAAAAGTGCCACCATGTGGATGAGAATCACCCGTGGGGAGGTCACGGAAACCGCGTTCAGCCATTAGACCATATTTATGGCCTGGCTATATTGCAGCCCCATGGCAATAGCCATGGTGGGGCTTCAAATAACGAAAAATTGCATCTCACAAATGGATGACTAGTGAGTGACCAGCCAGTACACAGAACCTAGAACAAAGTCTGATTTAATCAGTTTCAGATTCAGTGTTAACAACTTCACACTAGTGATCTATCTGAGCGATAAAAAATGATTTTACAGTTGTAACTACACAATTCTATTCCTAATTATGGAAAATGATATAATTAAATCAAGAGACAATGTTGCAGATATAGATAATCTATTTGAAGTGAATAAAAGAAGAAGAAGAATTAAGTCAATTTTTTATAATTAAGCTCACACATAATGAGTAAACAGTCAATTATTCCTGTTTATAAATATGACACATTTTTTTTTTTTATTTGGCTTCCATGCAAAGCAAAAGAATCAAAATCAATGGCAGCAAAATAAATATAAAACAATTCAAGTGAAAAGAAACAAAATGTTTGTATGGCTTGCCGGTCTTACTTTTGTTTTTTTGTTCAGAATGTCTGGCTGAAGTCCCTTAACTCTATGAATCTTGACACGAGAATGCTTTGCAATAGTTTTCCCCAAACTTGAAGGCTGTGACTCAGACTCACTGTGTTCAAATTTACATAAAAACCAACAATAAATTCATAGTTTACTCAACAGTGGCAGCATACTGAAAAGTGACAGCATCTGGGGGTTAATAGGCAGGCTATAAACATAATTCTGCCAATTCTGGTTTCAAAGTCATCCACAGATAGTTTGGTAGTTCACCCTTTTGTACTGACTTCGACAATGCCAAGTTAAACTACAAACAGTCCATTTTCATCATAACGTGTTTTGTCTATAATAAATAGACCGAAGCACTGTTACAGAGATGACTGACTTCTAATGTACTTCTGTTGACATGTGGTTCTAGTGTCTGTAGTATTTTTTTTCGACTGGAGAACTTTTGTATACGTGGGCGAAGCATAAACAAATCCCCTAGACACTTGGCCAACGTGCGATGCCTCTGACAGATCGCACATAACATACACAGGCATAAAAGCATGATGACGCTGATGATTCAACATCTAATAATGGTACTATATTAACAGAGTGACAATGTCATCATAAGAGATTACATACAAATCACGGACGCTAATGACAATAATAATGAAGATTACACCTTTTATTATAATAAAGCCTTTAGTCAAATCTAGTCAGTGTCTGTGGCTTAGGCGTTGTAAACCAGTTTTGTAATGCCGGGGTGCTGGGTTCAATCCCAGCTGCAGACGGCTTGTCTTGCGTTGGTTTCGACAGTGGTACTGAGAGCTGAACATTCAGAAAGCAGTGGCAAACTACTGAGTGCAACATTTCCTAGAAAAACCAAAACAGCCAAAAAATGCTGGGGTTGGTTCTGCAACATCCTGTAAAGGATTCACAACTCACTTTTTCAGTCAAATAAACAATAATCCATTTACAAATTAAAAAAAAAAAAGCAATCATTCAAAAAATCCGGTACAAAGTACCGCCATTTGTTAGGCATCATTTGTTAGCATCGCTTTAATAAAACACTTTGAGGTGAGTACTGGCAAATTTCTTAGAAACTTTGAAGTCAAGTAATGGCAACTTTTTCCTAGAAAAACAAAGCCCTGGATATAATAATAAATAATTCAAGACAGCTGGTAACAAAGCTGAATGATCAATCAATAATGGAAGTCTCTCTTACCTATTGCCAGGTTCACACACTTCTTCCCACTCCTCATCACTGCCATTATCTAGTCCAGATGTGTCTTCTGCACTGTGACTCAGAGGTGTCTGCCATCACAAACAGAAATAAAGCAGCAAATAACATAACTACAATGGAGTGACATTAGGGAGTTATTTCAAAACTTGTCAAGGAATGCCAGACTGGTTCCCCATCTCATCCGGTGTTAGACAAGGATGTGTCTTCTCATTATACCTCTTCACCACTTACATGGACAGAATTAAACAGCAGGCAGATACAAGCGCTGGTTAAAAAAACAAAACATGAACTGCTTTTTTTGCAGAAGATCTGTGTCTAATACACCATCAAGAACAGAATTTACAACATCATACTGTCTCCACATCAAACCTGCACAAAGTATGATGGGCCCACAGCTTTGTGGTATTCAAGGTTCCTCAATCCAAAACTGGAAGGTGGTGACCTAAGCATTGCTTCTATTCCTAATTATTAGGAGCATTCTTTTGAAACCCCTTCAGGCCACTCCATATGTAATTGTGTGCACTGATCATTTGTTTGGACCTCTAAAAAAAAAAAGCCTCGAGAGGCAAGGACTTCACACAGGTGCAGAAGTAACATGGTAAACACTTGGTTCGGTCAGCAACCACAGTCTTTTTTTGTTTTGTTTTGGCAGACAGCATTCATCACCTACCTAAGCAATGGGATGCTTGCCTGAATACCTACAGTGATTTTTTTCTGACAAACCCATGGTGCATAATTTATTCAAAATGAATGCTCTGTTTAATGCTGTCACACCTGTTGATGTTTCTTTCATGGTTTTGAGATAAAGTCACTGGAATGGTTTTCAAATGAGCACTCCTTATGTGAAGTATTTAGCTTGTGTGTTGTGTCTGTGTTTTCCCCTGTACCCTGCTACCTATAGAGTAAACCACCTCTGAAACTTCAAGAATCTCATCAATGGCAAACCAATAGGGAAAATACCAGAAACTCTGGTAATCTCCAGAAACATTATAACTGGGTCACCTGTAATAGTTACACCAGCCTGTGAGCATTAACTGAAACTCTTTTGCCCAATGAATGCTCATAAAAAAATGGGCCATAAACACGTCAGAATTTCCAGACATTGTTTTTTTTTCAAGCAACCATATTATAAAGGTCATTAATAATTTTTTTAAACAATTTCTTATCTATATTTAAATCTGTGACTCTTTAAATGTAAAAAGACATGAAAAAAAAGTATTGGGTATCCAAGCTGTGACCTTGTGACCTCTACCACAGAGGTTTACTGGAAAATATAACATCAGCTTGCTTTCAAAAAACTATTGAGATCATAAGGAAAGCCTCATAAATGCTATTTTTAGTGACAATATTTAAATCCTGTCCTTGTAAACACCGCAGAGGTGCACATTGGGCCATCGGAATTTACCTTTGCTTTTAGAGAACAGGCCACTGCAGACAGTCATTTATTGGTATCTGCCTGGATGTGGCAGGACCTGGTGTGACCTAGATTTAGGCTTCTCAGGGTGAAAGTGTTAAATGAAAGTTTTCCTTCAGGGATTTCAGCCCGAAAGATCAATGCCAAGTGACTCCTCCTTCTTCTTGTTCTTTTTTCCTAATCTTGTTTTTCTTTTTTTTTTCACGTTCCCCAGCTGTACACTCAAGCAAAAAGTTCTGGTTGTTTGTCAACCTCTGGACTTTGCTTCTGTTCTGGAACTTGAGTTTTGCATAACCACCCATTTGAAAGATCTGGCTTATTAGTATGCAGCCTGTTGGTTCTTCACCTCTCAAACAGATGCTCTCTGTTTGAAGTAAGGAAAGACCCCTAATTAGTCACTCTTTTATTACAAGCTTGTTTGGGAGGAAACAAAAAAAAGGGGGGGGGGGGGGGTGGTTGCAGTGATTTTTGTTTGTTTACAAAATTGTGCACCAGAAGACAAATATGGAATTCAGAGACTCAAAGAGACTTTATACTGATGTTAATCCAATGTTACAGAAGTATAGAGTCTAGAGTGAAAACTTCTGTGACAAAAATAAAAGGAAGTGTCAAAAAAAAAAAAAGTAGGAGTCAAATATACCTGCTGCGCTGGAACTTTATGATTTTTCCTCCTATTCTTTGTCATCAGACTAGAGGCTACTGCACTGACAAGGTCATCAGATCCGTAAAAAGCGTTTCTGTTATCTTGTGCCACTTTAGCATCATGTGACTTTTGTCTGACATCTTCCAGTTTATGTCTGAGACTAGCATGATGGAATGAAAACAAACAAAATTGTTGTATCACAAATAAATAAATGTGTTAATCATAATTACAATCAATGTGTTAACTATTACAGTACCATAGGACAGTCAAATTAGTTTTAAATCAAACTGTAATGTGTTTCTTGGTTCTGAAAGAGTTAATCATAAATATACTCCATTTGTTGATCATGCATACAAGCAATGTGTAAATCATACATACAAGCAATGTGTAAAAATACTGTGCCATACAAGCAATAGCACACAATCATACATACAAGCAATGTGTCCCTCATACATACAAGCTAATGTGTAAATCATACCCCCAAGCAATGTGTTTAATCCAACTTCTTCTTCAAGCAATGTGTAAATCATACATACAAGCAATGTGTAAATCATACATACAAGCAATGTGTAAATCATACATACAAGCAATGTGTAAATCATACATACAAGCAATGTGTAAATCAAGGGGATTTGCTACACTGCAATGAATTTATCATACATACAAGTGTCTGAGGCTTCATACATCAAGCAATGTGTACTAAAAGTCATGCACAATAAGCAAACACTTAACGTTACAAATCAATAATGCAGGCCATATATCAATAATAGTCATTTAATGTCTAATCCTTACAGATCACTGAGCTTGAAGACACATGAGCAACAAGCATTGAGTGTCAATCCCACTCACCCTGATAAACATGTCTCCTACATCCCTCAGTATTACTCAGATCTTCTCTCCCCCTAATCCCACTCCACAAGATCATTGAGTTTCCTAATTCCCCCTCCCGCAAGATCATTGAGTTTCTAATCCCCCCCCCAAGATCATGAGTTTCTAATCCCCACTTCACAAGATCATTGAGTCAGTTCTAATCCCACTCCCAAGATCATTGAGTTTCCTAATCCCACTGAATCCCTGAGTTTTTCATCCCACTGCAAAGATCATTCAGTTTCTAATCCAACTCACAAGATCATTGAGTTTCTAATCCCCAACTCACAAGATTTGAGTTTTCTAATCCCACTCACAAGATCATTGAGTTTCTAATCCCACTCACAAGATCATTGAGTTTCCTAATCCCACTCACAAGATCATTGAGTTCTCTTAATCCCACTTCTTCACAAGATCACCCACATGAGTTTCTAATCCCACTCACAGATCGTTGAGTTCTCTACTCCTAAAAGTCACAAGAGAAGCTCATTGAGTTTCTAATCCCGGCTCACATGATCATTGAGTTCCAATCCCACTTACAAGATCAATGAGCTTCTAATCCCACTCACAAGATCAATGAGTTTATCATCCCACTCACAAGATCATTGAGTTTCTAATCCCACTCACAAGATCATGTTATTCTAGTTTTCTCACCAGATCAGTGATTTTTCTCACTCACAAGATCATTGAGTTTCTAATCCCACTCACAAGATCATTGAGTTTCTAATCCCACTCACAAGATCATTGAGTTTCTAATCCCACTCACAAGATCATTGAGTTTCTAATCCCACTCACAAGATCATTGAGTTTCTAATCCCACTCACAAGATCATTGAGTTTTAATCTCAATCATTGAGTTTCTAATCCATTGAGTTTCTAATCCCACTCACAAGATCATTGAGTTTCTAATCCCACTCACAAGATCGTTGAGTTTCTAATCCCACTCACAAGATCATTGATTTTCAATCCCACTCACAAGATCATTGAGTTTCCTCAAACATTTATTAAAGGACTTTAAATGTAATCAGTTAATTAACTCTTTGAGTCCCAAGGGGTAGTAAAGAAAGTAATAAAATCGGCGCATAATGCGTTCTTTGGGCTTCTAGGTAGGAACCTATGAACATATGATGTGTTCCTTGGGACTCAAAGTTGAAACTTCCACTCAAAATGTATCAATATCTTACAAAGGTGCATTAAGCCATCAATTTGTTATCAAGAATGTTTCACTCATTAAAATCTTCTGGCAAGCATTTATCTTCTTGTCTCACAAACCATTTACCAGGAAAGACGACAGTTATATAACAAAATAGTTTATACACAGTTTATAAAAATGTAAATGGACCCTTTTCCCCGCCTGTAGACGTTTTGGTAATACAGGGCTAGATCTATATTTTTATAGACCAATCGGCAGGTGATGTGGTCAGCATCAGGGCGTGAACCCACGACCTTCTGATATGTAGCTGGGCGTCTAGCCGCCAACGCCAGGGTGACTACTTTATAAAAAATGTGAAAAAATATAATTATCAATCATGATGAGACTGAACTATGGGCAAAAATCATCAAGAACAGACATGAGATGCATATACACATAAGACAGAAAATTGTTATCTTGAAAACAAAACAAGAAAACAGAAGAAATAAGTTGTCATAACCACCTTTGAAGTTGATGTTTCATATCTGCAAGCTCCATTCGATACTTGGATGCTTCCTGCTGGGTGCTGGTCAAACCCGATATTATTTTACTGGGGAAAAGTAGCATATGATATGTTAACAATCAGGCTATGTATAGCATTCAGGATGTAACATCACATTTTTATTTATTTGTGATTTCTAAACAATATTAACTGCTATTTTTTAAAATTTATAAGTTGATCTCGTAATATAGATTTAAGCTCACCATAATCTTTATGAATTAATGTAAGACAATGTTGCATGCACAATTATATCATATGTGTTATGTATCTTGTAGCTAACTATTTTAGTAAATGTTATTTTGTATCTTCAAAATGATTGTTGAAACAAGGGTAAAAATATATTAAGAGTTAGCATCCTCAATTCTTGCTTAATGTAATGTTTGCTTGTTTGTAAGTTCATTCATTTAATTACCACTGCATAAAGCCATCTGCACAGTCACTAATTTTGTAAAGGAACAAAGGGTCAAAGGTTCAACTGCTATGATGAAGCCTGTGGCTCACACTTTGAGAATTTAAAACTGCAAGAGAGTGACAGTTATCCTCCCTGACGGTGAGACTAGTCTTGCAATCACTGCTTAGACAGGTCACTAACAAAAATGCTAAAGAATGTGTTGAAAGAGCTAACAGTGATTACACAAAACAACAGAAAATAGAATTCATAAGCGTAAACACTATATAGATTGTGTTGTTTGCCTAGTAGAGCAGAGCCAAGTAATCAAAGATTATTCTTCAAATTTGATGAGAATAAGCTGGACCAATCGAAGGTGTCATAAATATGTCTTGAAAGAAACTGACTCACAAAAAGAACTAAGTCTCTCCAGAAAAAGAAACTCTACATTCTTTGGTCATATTATGAGAAGGAGAAAACTGGAGTATATTGGAGGGAACAAGAAGCAGAGGGACATCAAGAGAGAAGATGTTGGAAAGTTCAACATCATGGCATGGAAGATCATCTGTTTCAGAATTAACTGAAAATACATGAGACAGCAGGTTGAAGACAGACCTGATTAACAACACCATATAGTAGGTGTACCAAATGCCACAATGTATGGACTAAGAGATGAAGGTTCTTCAGTTCATACAAGAATGGACAACAAACTGACGAGACTAAGAAAAAAAAGTCTTTAAAAAGAACACAGAGGTGAGAAGGAAACAGTTGTATCTTATTCACCTCTTCTCTTGGATGAGATCGTCCCTCTGGCTAACAGCTCGCATGATATCCCTCTCCAGCTTCTCGATGTGGACAGTTTTACTGTGGACCTGCAGACATATATACAAACATAAAAAAAAGGTAAAGTTAGAAGATGTGAACCAGCCTCATTGCACACTGTTATAAACCATAAGTGCTCTGCCATCAGTACAGACAGCTGATAAGAAACTGTCCGCCTGTGTCGCCGTCTGCACGCAACTCCGTAGCTACAGCGACGTTTTTCCGTTTACCCCAGAGTGTTAATTCTGGTACCCATTATCTAGAGGCTTAGGGAACCCCGAGGAATCGTCCGGTTTCGAACACCAGCCCTGGGCTGCAGCTAGTCGCAGCTAGATTTGAAAATGAGCCTCCTATCGACTGCGCTAATGCGGCCCCACAAACATAAACACCTCAAACATACACACTTACATGTACAAACAGCATTAGTGGCAGCAATGGAGCAGCAAGGCAAATAGTTCCTTGTCATCTACATGTTAATCATCATCAAGTACCAGCATCACACTGATAACTGACTAATACATCTAATACTCCCTGTGTGCATTCCACAGGCCTTATTTTGTTTTGTTGGGAGGGGAAAACGGGGGGGGGGGGGGGGAGACAGACCCAATGCTCCTTAAAAAGCATGTCTAAAAGACAAATAATTATTGATTTGCTGAGATCAGATATGATGGGCCTAAAGGCACAGATATTACAGCCTAGCTGTGAACCACAACATAGCATTCCAAGTGCCCTTTTACAGACGAACACAAAAGAAGAAATATGAAACATGAAGCATTAGGCATGTTTAACTTCTCTTGTAATGTTATCTGCCTACACTTAATGTTGCCTTCCATCTGCATGCTTACCCTCTACTTTTCCTCCATCATACACTTTAACAAGGAATTGTTTTGTTTATATGGCAGAAGTCTCTTCCTCCTTTCTACTTTTTGTTTTCCCAGCCAGTGGTTTTCAGATGAAAAGGTGGCCTCTATGAAAGCTATGGAGCCAAGCATGTCAGAAACTGGTCCATGCAGCTTGGTTTCTAATGGTATGCCAACTGGCCAGACCTGAAATCTTTCTACTACATGCAGAGAGCGTGGCAGACATGTTCAGTATTATGGCAGTGCCTGTCTACATGGGCACAGTTCAGAGTCTCCAGTTCCTGTGGATATGGTTGTGGAATTCATTGTGACCTGTTTCTTCCGTGTGAGGAGGCTGACTGGGTCTTCAGGGTTGTGTCCTGGATAGAATGTGCTCCAATGGGTTCTAATGACTGTCTTGATTTGGTTTTATTTTCCTGACAATTGCATCCTGCGTCTGCGAGTTCTTAACTGTGTGAAGGTATCTTAATAGTCTTGCCTTATCATAGTGTTGATAAAATTAAACATTGATGGAACAATATTTGAAAATGTACAGACTACAAAAAGGTGCCATAATGATTGACAGCCAAATCGAAACTTCAACATATTAAGATGTTAGAAAATAGTGTATTACCACCTGATTTATTTAATTTTCTCAGAGAAATAATGATGTAATCTATACAAGATATGCCAGCAAAATCAGCTATAATGTATAAAATCTATATTTTGCTGATAGATTTGATCAAGGTGGTTGAAATGCAACTTCAAGAAATGATGCACATATTTGCAACACAAATTTAGAAGAAAACAATCTTAATTTGAGCAGTTGAAAAACAGTTGAGAAATAAACATTTTAAACACATTCTTGAATATGATGACGCCCAATTTTAAACATAATTCAAACATTTTGAAAAAAAGTATCTTATACACAGAAAAATATGGTACATATTCTATTGGAGAATACCTGTGATTTAAGAAGTGACAACTGTTTATCAGTTTCTCTCTTATCTCTGCTCTTTCGACACAGGCTTCTTAACTGAAACTCATACTCTGCAAATTATACAGCATGAACAATTCAAATAATGAAAATGTGGTTATGAATATATGTTCATTATAACATGATGTGACAAACCATAAACCTAATGTGTGTTATGAATTAACAAAAAGTCACAAACTATGAATATCTAGGCCCCAAAATAAAGAGTGATGGTGACTGTTCAACAGAAGTCAACATTTTAAAGAGCATGCATCTATCCTGTAGAAACATATGGGTGTGAGTCCTGGTCTATCCCGTAGTCATTAGGGAAGAAAGAACGCTTTTGAGCTGAAATGTTACAGAAAGATTCTAAGAATTTCATGGATCAGAAAGAAAACTGGCATCCTAAAAGACCTAAACATCAAGGAAGAATGGCTCCTTAACAGCATCTTGTCTCGGGAATTGAAATATTTTGGCCATATCAAGGGCCACTGCGGACTGAAAAGAATAATAGCTAAAGGCATGGTACCTGGAAAGAGGGGCAGGGGCTAACCAGCATGAAGATGGAACACAGGATACAAGTGACTCCTTGAATATGAAAGAACACGAGACGGGAGAGCTGGCGAGAGACTGAGCTTCTTTCAGGCAGACTGTGATGACAGTGACATTCTGCACAGGACTTGCTAGGTTTTGTGATTATGAAGTAACAACTACACACTTAAGGAGCAATCTGCTAATCTGAGAATCATACAAAATATGGGCGGTGCATAAAGTCTATAGTTCCAAGAAAATTGTGAACTTGAACACACAGTAATTGCATAAGACAGTAGCTAGAAGTACCAAAAACAATAGTCAATAGAATTGCAATTTGTCATTGATGGAAGTAATCAGTGATGACCAGCTGGCTGAACACAAGCAATATTATTGCATAAGTCAAATCACCTGTCCGAACAGAAACCAGCAACTTGAATATCCTAATATAAATGATCACAGGCACAGTCGAAAGGCATTACACATGAAATAAACAGCTCACAATGTTGAACCAAGCATCCATCAGTAGCTGTGGCAACAAAACGTGGACCCAAGTCCATATGTGGAAAATGCATTCTCATAACGTGACCAAAAGCAGTCAACACTTCAAAGCTTTAACTGACTGCCTGTCTATTGTCATTGGACTGGAAATCCTCTCACCTTACATTGTGGTGTTGTAGCTAGTAGTTTTAAAACTATAAATGAGCTTATATTTGACCATTGGGGTAAATTATGCAAAAATATATGTTTGCTACTGAGCCAAGCATATGTGCACTTCTTCCTCTTCTTCTTCTCTTCCACCTTGTACCTCAGTGAAGTGTCGGGGGAAGATGTAACATTCGTTGATGAACTCTGTCAAGAGCACTATTATGATTGATGTTCATTTCTGTAAGGCTGTTCTTTATGCCATCACTCCATATTTCCCGAGGTCTTCCACTCGCTCTATACCCGTTATAACGTTTTAGTGTGGCTCGCTGTGGTGGATAGTACCAGAGCATTCTTGTTAGGTGTCCAAACCACTTCATTTCTTGTTATTTGATGACTTGTAAGACTGGCTTTATTCCTAGCATCTGTCTAATTTTGTGATTTCAAATTGTCTTTCTTTGAAACTCCTGCAGCTCTTCTAAGGCATTTCATCTCTGTTGCCACAATTTTACGTTCATTGAAGGGTGTAAGTGTCCACGTTTGGCACTGATATTTGCACTAAGTGATATGTGCCCTAAGGCATAAATATGTGTTAATCAATGTAGGTTAGTGCAGCTTACAGGGAACACTGCTATGAACTAAATTCTTATAGGGTCAAGGCAATACAGATTTACATATCATATGCATCAAGAAGCATTTACCCTCCTTCTGACTCTGTAGAGCCATCTTCAATTCATGAACTGCAGCCACATCGTGACAGGCCTGCACCCGGAGCAGATCCACTTCTTCCTGAAGGGATACTCTGAGTTGAAAAAATATTTGAAAACATACAAAAAAATTGAGCTTCAAGTATTTGTTTTTAATAATCCTCTGCTTTGTTTTATTCCATGGCTGGATGGTTTTGGTGGCTATTGTTTTTAGCCAACCCCCAAGCCCAATCTTATTAGTCGCCTCTTATGACATGCATGGTAGGGTGCAGGGTTACTATTTTTTTTGCTTTTCGTGATGGCCCTGGTAACAAATGTGTGAGGACATGGGGTGAGCTACATGCAATAACGGAGGATAGAAAGATTTGGCATGAGTTGGTTGAAGACCCATGAACCACTGGGGGATAGAGGGCAGTAGAAGAAGAAGAAGAATCTGCTCATTCGCATTCACCGTAATTCACCGTAATCTCCCGTGGAAAGTTCTAGTTGTTCATCCCCTTCTCGACTTAGTCTTGTTCCAGAATTTGAGTTTTGCATGCACATTTGTTTTTCACAAACCTGGCTTATTTGTATGCAGGTTGTTGATGGCTTGCTTCTGTGGCACATGCAATCCAACTTCAATGTTTATTAATTTTAAGTGGTGAAGTGATCAGCTGCTGTTTTCCTGACACTCTGAAGATCATCATATATTCATCATCAGATGGTGACAATAGGTTTACTAGTGGCTTATTTGTTGTTGTTGTTGTTGTTGTTGCTGGAGCAATGGAGGTCCTGATTTGTGCAATACTCCCAAGGTAGGTGCCTCCTCTGCTGAGAGAGACCAAGCCAAATGGGATAAGATCCTGTGAATTCTGATCTTCTGACCTTTAAACCCTTTTATATAAGTAATCCTTCTCAGGTCATGCATCAGAATGTTCAAGATGGATCACTATGGAATGAATGGCTGCCTCCAGTCAATCAGTCAGGTGTCATGTTGCCATCTGTCAATCACTCAGATTTCATGCTGCCATCTCCCTAAAGAAGGCTGGCTGCAATAGTTCCCTAACTGTTTCTCAGCCCCCAATGGCTCCCTAACACTGTCTCAGCCTCAGTGGCTCCCTAACACTGTCTCAGCCCCCAATGGCTCCCTAACACTGTCTCAGCCTCAGTGGCTCCCTAACACTGTCTCAGCCCCCAATGGCTCCCTAACACTGTCTCAGCCCCCAATGGCTCCCTAACACTGTCTCAGCCCCCAATGGCTCCCTAACACTGTCTCAGCCCCCAATGGCTCCCTAACACTGTCTCAGCCCCCAATGGCTCCCTAACACTGTCTCAGCCCCCAATGTCTCCCTAACACTGTCTCAGCCTCAATGGCTCCCTAACACTGTCTCAGCCCCCAATGGCTCCCTAACACTGTCTCAGCCTCAGTGGCTCCATAACACTGTCTCAGCCCCCAATGGCTCCCTAACACTGTCTCAGCCCCCAATGGCTCCCTAACACTGTCTCAGCCCCCAATGGCTCCCTAACACTGTCTCAGCCCCCAATGGCTCCCTAACACTGTCTCAGCCTCCAATGGCTCCCTAACACTGTCTCAGCCTCCAATGGCTCCCTAACACTGTCTCAGCCTCCAATGGCTCCCTAACACTGTCTCAGCCTCCAATGGCTCCCTAACACTGTCTCAGCCTCCAATGGCTCCCTAACACTGTCTCAGCCTCCAATGGCTCCCTAACACTGTCTCAGCCTCCAATGGCTCCCTAACACTGTCTCAGCCTCCAATGGCTCCCTAACACTGTCTCAGCCTCCAATGGCTCCCTAACACTGTCTCAGCCTCCAATGGCTCCCTAACACTGTCTCAGCCCCCAATGGCTCCCTAACACTGTCTCAGCCTCCAATGGCTCCCTAACACTGTCTCAGCCTCCAATGGCTCCCTAACACTGTCTCAGCCCCCAATGGCTCCCTAACACTGTCTCAGCCTCAGTGGCTCCATAACTCTTCCTTTAAGCCTGAAAAGTTCCCTAACTTTATCTCAGCCTCATTCACAATTTCAGACTGGTATTCACGGATTCCTTTATGTTATCATCCTTCTTTAAATGAATGTTCACTGCCTATCTCTTGCTGATATGTCTTAAACTTTTCTCTCATATTTAGTTTGTATAAGAGGATTATGTGACTACAATATTTCACTTGTCTTTTTTTTTAACTTCTTTCCACAACTCCTTCTTTCATTTCTAGCCTTTCCAGAAATCTCAGTATTTGATTACAATTGTTTACATGAAAAACAACTTTTTCTTCTAATTACAGTTATAATACTTTGAGTTTCTATGCTATGAAGCAAACATAGGAAATGTATTCGTGTGTTCCCTTCTAGTGATCTAAACATTTTACATGTAACTTCATGATAGATGCAGCCAAAACAGGTTGAGGTAACTGAACTACACAAACACCAGGCCACAGTTAAATAAACTGAGACTCATCTTATGGCTCATCGCCTTTCCTTCAAGAGCAATCTTTAGACTCAGCTCTGCTTGGCTGGATTGACCTCAGTACTACAGTGATATGAGGACATAATCCTGACACTGCTCTGGACAAAACTGAAGGCTACTAAATTGAAAAGCTAGTTTGCTAACCACTACACCACCATGATTCCTTATAGTACTTCTCAGTTTATGAACAGTTATGTTACTAAGCCTTACTAGTCTTTGGTTAGAAAGTTCTCAAGGAAAGAGTTTGAGATGAAAGTCACAGACTTTTCATGTGTCTACCATGTCAACGGCTACTACAGCTAAATCATGCTGGGTCGACATTTCATTATCATGTTAGTTTTACATCAGCTTTCATTCTATATTAGCATCTGTGGCTTAGGCATTGCGAATGCTGTGTTCAGTCTCAGTTGTGAGTGATTTTGCAGCAGAGTGCTTTGCGTCAGTTTCAAAAGTAGTATTGAGAACTGAATATTCAGAAAGCAGTGGCAAACTACTAAACATAAAACTGCCCGGTAAAATCACAAACAGCCACAAAATGCTTGAGTTATTCTGCAATACCCAGTAAAGCCAAGCTATTCAACTGGTGACCTGTGGGCCAAATATACTGTATTAATGATCTTTCTATGCTAGGGCTCTGGCCTCCGGCCCCTGACGATCCCCACTCTCCAATATTTTGCCCCTGAAAAAAAATATTTGAATAGCCCTACTGTAAAGCTAACTTTCTTCTCACTTTCAAAATAGGACATTCTACTTACATTTAAGGAAGACAGACCAGCAGATTCTGCTGAAAACATAAACTTTACAAATCGTGTATGAAGTGCAGCTGGGAACCTTTGTAGTGCAAGAGCCAACACTCTAAAAACCGATTTGATTGTGATAAATTTGGATCTACAGCAAGGCAGGGTTTTTAAATTTACTGAGGCTTCCAGATTGATCCATGAGTTAAACACACCTACAAAATCAGACATTCTATAGATTTCACTTAGTTTTAAAAGCATGCATTCCAAGGTTATGCCCCAACACCAAAAGCAGATATAAGTATGAATCAGTTGACTTTCAAAAGTTTAGATTTGCTTGTGCTACTGCACACTTTCCACAGCAGATTTTCTTATAATATTTGCATTTTCAAAAGTAGTTATTCTAGGGACTATAAGTAAGACAACAAAACACCTAATGTAAACTGGTATATTTTTTTAAAGCAGATTTGTTAAAGGACACTGACATAACTTACGTGTCAACCTGCAGCGTCCTGTTCTCAGCTTTCAAATATGCTAGTTCATTCCACACTTGGTCACTATTCTCTTTTTGCAGTGACCGAGGATCTGCACGCTTTGGTTTCTTTGGTCTTACACCCCTGCAATTCAATTCAAGCTTCACTTTAATGTAAAGTAGGAATATCATACTGAGAATATATAGAAAGTTGCAATAACATAATGAGAATATAAAGAGAGTTGCAAAGACATGTTGAGAATATACACAGATCTGCAATATACAGAGAACTGCAGTTCTTTACCATTTTTATAAAGTAGGTGTATCACATTGAGAATATACAGAAAGTTGCAATAACAGATTCAGAATATACAGAAAGTTGCAATAACAGATTCAGAATATATATAAAGTTGCAATAACAGATTCAGGATATACGGAAAGTTGCAAAACAGATTCAGAATATACAGAAAGTTGCAATAACAGATTCAGAATACACATAAAGTTGCAATAACAGATTCAGAATACACATAAAGTTGCAATAACAAATTCAGAATATACATAAAGTTGCAATAACAGATTCAAGATATACAGAAATACAGACAGCCAACTGGTAATGCACCACCTGAATGGTAAGTGTCATTCACAAAGCATTCAGGATACTAATCATATCACTGTACAAAATTCTATACAAATAAACAGCAGTGGTGAAGATTCTATTTCCTTGTCTGTCCATTATCTAACCAGTACAGCAACTGTTTTTGACCCTGGACTGGTTTTGACATTTCAGTGAGGGTTGTAGAAAGATGCAATTTACACTGCAGTGCTAGGTGTGTTGTGCTGGTAAATGTAAACTTGTGTTATTGTAAAGTGTTGTTAGCGTCATTCCATTTGCCTCTTTGTTCAAAAGATTGGAATTGCAATATTCAGTGAAAAGAACTAGTACTGAACAGAGTGACTTACCTTGAAAACTCCAAAGATTTCAATTCTTCTCTAACCAATCGGTAACTTGCTTGAAGGTTCTGGAATCTTTGCAGACGTTTATCATGAGCCCGTCTCATTTCTTCTAATTGGCGAACCTTCACAGTATTAAATAATTAACATAATATAAATCATAAGCATCAAAACTCACAGTGATCAAGTAAACCTATTAGATAGAAACACTTTTCCCATTTCTTGTTACTCTTAGTTCACCTCATCATTCCTCTTCATTCACTTCTTCATTATGTCTTATCTTCTTTTTTTCTAATTTTCTTTCTTTGTCTTCTCCTCGTGCTCTTTTTGTTTTCTCTATTTCTCCTAATTTGTCTTCTTCTCCACTTTCTTTCCACCTCATCCTTATCTCCTTTCTATTGTTATACTTAATCCCCTTCTCCTCCTTAGAAGGATATTTCTGGAGACCTCTGGTATTTATTTTGATTATGGTGCTGCATATATTCTCCTCTCTGCTAGTTACTGACAGTGTGCAAATGTAACACTTGGGCTCTTTCTTCCATAGTGAGTCAAGTAGAGAACTTTCCCCTACCTTGAAATATATTGAGTAGATTGTGCTACATATAGGCCAGTTGGTATTTAACCGATGAAGTAACAGGTCAGTTGGTATTCAACCGATTATGTACCAGGTCAGTTGGTATTCAACCGATGATATACTAGGTCAGTTGGTGTTCAACCGATGATGTACCAGGCCAGTTGGTATTCAACCAATGAAGTACCAGGTCAGTTTGTATTCAACCGGTGATGTACCAGGTCAGTTGGTATTCAACCGATGATGAACCAGGTCAGTTGGTATTGAACCGACGATGTACCAGGTCAGTTGGTATTCAACCGACGATGTACCAGGTCAGTTGGTATTCAACCGACGATGTACCAGGTCAGTTGGTATTCAACCGACGATGTACCAAGTCAGTTGGTTTTCAACCAGTGATGTACCAGGTCAGCTGGTATTAAACCGATGATGTACCAGGTCAGTTGGTATTCAACCGACGATGTACCAGGTCAGTTGGTATTCAACCAACGATGTACCAGGACAGTTGGTATTCAACCGACGATGTACCAGGTCAGTTGGTATTCAACCAATGATGTACCAGGTCAGTTGGTATTAAACCGATGATGTACCAGGTCAGTTGGTATTGAACCGATGATGTACCAGGTCAGTTGGTATTCAACCGACGATGTACCAGGTCAGTTGGTATTCAACCGACGATGTACCAGGTCAGTTGGTATTCAACCGATGATGTACCAGGTCAGTTGGTTTTAAACCGATGATGAACTTGTTATTTTGGCTAAGTTCACATGGAGGTGCCACTAAAACTGGCACAAGGTTGAAAACAATAGTAGAGACAGACTAGAGCAAGCCATAATTTTACACCTTGGAAATGTGAAGCCACATGTCCACACAATTAGGACTGGCAAATTAGCCATGTGCACATGGGGATTGGCACCTGAGACAACAGATCACATCCTTCAAGACTGTCCCAAATACAACATATCTTGGCAAAACTTCTAGCCAAAAAAAAAACCTGGTAAAAGCCAAACATGAGGCCACTAGGCAAGCAAGTGAACATTCTAAGAAAAAATTGTGCTATCACCACAATGAAAGCAGGTCGTTATGTATCCACTGCCAACTCTGAGAATATTATGTGTTACGTGGTGATGCCCTAAATCTTGTCCACAGCTTGACTCTCGTACCAATGTCTGAAAGCCCCAAAGATGGCTTTTTTTTTCTAAACCACCCATAAAAGAATAAAAGTCTAGTAAACACTGTGTACTGCATTGTGAAATGATTTCACTAACCTCTAAGCCACAGTGCCGCAATAAATTCTAGCGCCCGCATTTACAATCCCTCTTTCACAATCTTAGTTAACATTACTTCATCTTCAGTATCTAAACATCATCAATAACATCCTGTCGATGCGATTCATTCGTCGCATAGTGCCTGCAGTTAAACCCATTCTGTTCTTTCCTCTGCAATTTATTTAAAATTTATTATCTAAGCTATAATTAAGACAAACGTGTCATTAGTATATACATATAAATAAAATGACCACAACTTCAATATCTTTAGTGTAAATCTTATTCTTCTTTTTCTACAGCATTCCAAGCCCTTGAGGTTCACTGCTGCATTTATCACCCACCTTCATTCATCCCTCTGGTTGGCATCAGTTCCAGTTAGTGACATCAAGTGTTTACCTTTAGTCTACATGCTCATGAAAATATCTTTATAATCTAAATGCTAATTAAAATTAACACATCTTTAAAAGATTATTTTTTACCAAGAGAGACAGTTTTCTACTGAATTAGAGAAATCATCATTAAAATTACTGACACAGTAAAATCTCATTAAAAAGAAGAATCCAAAGGAAAACTGAATTTGTGCTAATTAAAATTTGTGCTCACAATTAATTAAAATAATAATAATAATAATACATGCCTGCTGGTGAGTGTTCTTTTTAACTCTTTTAGTCCCATGAGATCCTAGCTAATATAGGAAGGAGTCTTGAAAGGCAAAACTTAACTTATGGGTATACTACTTCCAGAGGGGCTAAATATACAACTTTAGGGAAAAAGGGGGGGGGGGGGGTAGAGATATGTTGACAGAGTTCTTCAGAGTCCATCACTAAACACAAGATCTAAAAACATACAACATGTTTACTGATACAGGTGAATAATACCCAGTAACACACAGTGCATTTTTTTTTAAACAAAAAAAGAGTTCAATGCATTCATGATAACAATTTATTAGTGTAGTACCTTCAAATCATACGCCTTCTGCAGCTGAGCAACCTTTCGGACATCACAAGGTTCCAGCCTGGGCTCTGTGTCTTTTGTTGGAGGGGACAGTGACCTTGTCCTTTTCATATCAATGTCAGGGCTGTTTCTATTGTCTAGATCAAACAGTCGATTTAATGATCTGCAAAACAAGTTTTCAAATGGCAAGAATGGTTTTATTTAGTAAAGAGAAAAATCTATGAACTTTCAGAAAATATATGTAAATATATGGTTTAATTACTTCTTCTTATGTGCTTGCCCTTAAAAGGATTATTGACATAGTGTGTTGTGGTTTTCAGTTGGGCCATGATATCTGAGTCTTTTGGTTTGAAACAATCGATTTCTGCAAACCATTAATTAGTCACCTCTTATATTTACAATATGCTTGTTCAGGGGTAGTGGGTGAGTAATGCCCCCTGGCCCAAAACTGAGGCAGTAACATCAGCTTTCCTCTAGCTTGAGAACCAGATGTACACACAATCTATGATTGTAACTGAAACATAAAGTCCGGGGAACAGAAGGATAACAGTGGACAAATGTGAATACCAAGTATCAGCACATCAACACTGAACTGAGCTGAGCTGATTTAAGAACCGACATCACAACACTTGGGGCATTCCCATTAGCATTCCATCCCCATCTGCAGCAGCCACAGCTGAGCTCCAATACCAATGGTAGCAGTAATGTCTAATTATATGTCCATTTTGCCTTTCCTCTGAGCAATAAGTATCGGCCAGATCCAACAATCACTCCTCACTGCATTATTCTTATCAGACCGTAATGATCCATTCGCTTCTCCAAATTGTACACATGCTCACAAAAGGTATGGACCACATCTGCCATATCAGGCATCAGTATTCCACCAAGTTGTGCATAACCCAACAGTCTGTCTAGCTGTTCATTTCCCACCCCACCAGCATGACCTGGAGAAAAGATCTAGTCAATGCTCCTACGAAGCGAAGCATGCCACTCAGCTCTGCATGAAGCATATAAGCATACCTGTCCTCATCATGCTCAGCATGCTATCTGAGTCAGTTACAATCATGAGATGTGTGTGTGTGTGTGTGTGTGTGCTGTACGTGCGTGATTGTGTGTGTGTGTGTTTTGTGCATGTATGCACTTGCGTGTGTGTCATGTTCTTTCTAGCCAGCGGAAAACTGTAGTGACCGCCTCCATCTCCATTCTTAAGCTGGATGTTGTGGTATCATATGCTAGCCTCTCCTGTACCAAACGTCGACCAATAGCTTTTGATAAGAACCCCCAAGCACTTCTTTTGCCTCTTGACACTGAAATGTTGTATCAATAATCATATCATCTGAGCGAGCATTATCCTGAATTAATGGCTGACTTCCTCCTCCATGGCACCTGCTGCCCACTCTCTGCACTTCCAGCTCAATATGATAATGACTCTTCACAAGTCTGTCTGTTTCGCTGACACTCTGACCCACTCTTCTCCTCACCTAATGTTCTCCATGAAGCAAGCCTGTCTGAACGTGTCCTCTGCCTGAGCGATCCATGACTTCCCTCTTTTCAGCCCTTGACCCTTAACTACATTCATCGCTTTGTGCAAAGGGTGATCTGTGTCTACAGCTACTTCGCCTGCAGCACCCTTAGCTTAACTGCAAATCAAGGATGTATAGCATGCACACTACCGGGGTGTCTCTAGTACAGCCCAGAATGAAACCACACTGCTGCGTTCTGTATGCGCTCTAGTTCCTTGTGAGGTAACCTGCCATGACCCTCTCCACGCTGGTACTTTGTGTGTGATGTCTGGTTGGGTAGACTACTGTACCAGATATGCAGGAGTGTGAGGGAATAAAAGAGCAGATTTTTAGGCTATGAAAGGAATAGCTACAGGAAGACTACTGGATAGGGAAGACATTCTGAAAACTATTTATGATTAAATGCTGATAGAAGAAACAAGGTTGGATAAAATAACATTTAAAATTAAGTGTGGGTGGATCCAGCAAGGAAGGACGTGTGAGAGGAACAGTATGACATGTATAATCAGTGTGGGTGGATCCAGCAAGGAAGGACGTGTGAGAGGAACAGTATGACATGTATAATCAGTGTGCTACCAGATAATCATCACCTACATCTTAATATATCTGCTGCACATGATGGAGCATCTATCAGTTCGCCTGGTGAGCTTTTATGTCGATTGTTAAATCAGATAAAGAGAAACTGCATTCTGGGAAAATGTACAGGTGCAACAGAACAGCAAATTGGCAAGTCTTGGGGAAGTAAAGCACGATACTTACTACATGTTCTACTGAGTGCCGATTGGTCTATAAAAAGCTATGTGTACATTTGCCTAAAGGTGTGGAAATAGGACTTGTACATTTTCAGAGACTGGAACTGATCAATATGTGGCAACTTGCTTGATAAAGAGTACACTGAGGATTTTTCGACTGATAAAAGACACTACAAACATCAATAAATATTTTACCTTCCTCGTGTTCTTGAAATTGCATTTTTTTGCTTCTCAGCTTCATCAACTGCCTGAAAGAATAACTTTCATAATTGTATGTTTCAACATCAGATTTCTACATCAACAGTTTCTATGATTTGTCCAGATTTATACATCAACAGTTCTATGATTTGTCCAGATTTATACATCAAAAGTTTCTATCATTTGTTCAGATTTATACATCAACAGTTTCTATCATTTGTCCAGATTTATTAAACCAATGTGCTAAATATGCTTTTATACTTTATATCTGACATGCACCATCAGTATCAGTATGTCAATAAGAAGAAACTCTACAGGGGAGCATGTACAGCAGGAGTCTACCAATCATCAGTAGAAGGATCCCTCATCCACAAATGTTTTGGCCCACGAGCTCCTAGACAATCTCAGAGAGTGGGCTCACCTGAGTTCATGAAGCTCAGGCTTGATCTGCTCCTGCTGCACTTATTACCGGATGTTCTCGGACAGGGACAAGACGAAATTGGTGACTATGCAACAGGTACTGTGACGTTTGAAATTTATTTATAGACGCTGCGGTAGCATCTCTCAAAAACAAAACACAAAAACTTGGCCCTGAAACTCATGGGCACATTTATTTTTGACAAAGATTAGTTTAAAAGTTGGAGATGGGTTTTAACAGAAGAATTCTTAGAATCCTTGGACAGGCAAAATAGAGCAACCCAGATGTTTTGAAAGACATAATTGCTTGAAGACAACTTATCACAAACATCAGGAAGAGACAGTCCTTGTTTTCTGGTCACGTTATGAAAAGAAGAAAACAGGAACATGTTGTGGTCACTAGAAAGATTTGTGGAAGGAGAGATGGAGCAAGACAGCGTGAGAAGATTCTTGACAGTCTTTTGTCATGGTATGGAAGGGTGTCAACGCATGAAGGGATACACGCAGTTACGGATCACAGATTGTGGAGAGGCATGATCGCCCATGCCAGTCGGCAAGGCACTTGATGATGATGATAATTAATAAAAATAATGACACTACTTACAGATTTCAAGTGACTAATCTACAGCTGAAGATTTAAATCATTAGTCAATAATACTGACAGAGATTCAGTGCCCAATCTACAGCTGAAGATTTAAATCATAACATAATTCTGACACAGACTAAGTGACTAATCTACAGCTGAAGAATTTTATCATCAGATAATACGGACAGAGATTCAGTGCCCAATCTACAGCTGAAGATTTAAATCATCAAATAATACTGACAGAGATTCAGTGACCAGATGATAGCCAACAAGCCCAAGCGATCAAACAATGATGAAACACAACCTGCAAAATGTCCAGAAAACTGCCACTGTAATGAAGCTGTCCTCCAAACTGTCTGTTTTCTGATTCATGTTTGCAGGATGGGTACACAGATTCTTGTTGCGACTGCAAGGAGCTTATGATATCATCTTTGTCCATAAGACTCTGAAACATAATATGTTTTATTACATGGATGAAGTTTGGCAACATTCAATAATAAAATCATCATCTGCGGCGGTGGCGCTGGCCTCGGCACTCTCGTTGTCATCATCATCATCATCATATGCCATACTGGAGTATGCATAGTAATAGCATTCATCATCATGTAGGTCCTTTGCAGAACGTGGCTCTCATCACAGTCTGCCTGTAAAAAACTCGGTCTCTTGCCAGTTCTCCCGCCTCATGAACTTTCACACTCAAGGAGTCACTTATATCCTGTGCCCATCTTCGTGTCGGTCGGCCTCTGCCCCTCCTTCCTGGTACCATGCCTTCTGCTATAATTTTTTCCAATCCGTCGTGGCGCTTGATATGACCAAAATATTTCAGCTTTCGAGAAAGGATGCTGTTTATTAGCCAATCTTCCTTGATGTTCAGATCTTTTAAGATGTCAATATTTCTCATCTTCTTTGTCCAAGATATTCTGAGAATCTTTCTATAGCATTTCAGCTCAAAAGCCCCTATTCTCTTTCTTAAGGACTGAGAGATAGTCCACGACTCACATCCACATGTAGCCACAGGGAAGATGATGCTCTCAAAATTCTAATTAAGCTGGTGCTTAATCATAGACTTTTATGGCTGTTCAATCTTTGCATTGCTATGGCCATCCTCCTTTTAATTTCTGTCGAACAGTCTCCATTGTTGTTTATTACAGAGCCTAGATATTCAAAGTTTGTGACATTTTCAATTTCTTCATCATTTATTGTTATTTTTGGGTGACAGCCAGTTTCATCTGTGGACATTATTTTCGTTTTCTTTAAATTCAAGAACAGATTTTGATCTTCACTGTGCTTTTGGACGGACAATATTAAATTTTCTATTCCCTTTACGCTGTTCGAAAGGAGGACTGTGTCATCTGCGTAGTGGAGTTCAGGAATAGGGTTGCCACCAATTTTGAGCGGATCATAACTGTCACAAGTCTGGTCATTTTTGACATGTCTCATTATATTTTCTACGTATATATTGAATAGGTATGGTGAGAGAATGCACCCCTGCCTCACCCCCTTTTGCACCTTTCACCAGCTGCTCTGATGGCTGCTTGTTGTTCATGATGGAGATTTTTAATTAATTGAACTAAATGCGCTGGAAACCCCATACTTTTCATAATAGTCCACAGTTTGTGGTGCTGGACACAATCAAATGCCCTGCTATAATCAATAAAACAAGCATGAAGATCTACATTGTATTCTCTGCATTTTTCAAAAATTATTCTCATATTAAATATGTGATCCCTAGTTCCTCTAACCCTGTCTGAAACCCGCTTGTGCTTCATCTAGTTCATATTGTAATTTCCTTTCAATCCTTTTCATGATAATTCGTAAGAGGATTTTGCTAGCATGACTTTTTAATGCGATGGTACGGTAGTTGGAGCATAGTTTTGGATTTCCTTTCTTTGGGAGAGGGATATAGACTGTTCTTTTCCAAGCTTTAGGCCAAATGCCACTATTCCAGATCTTCGAGCACAGTGCATGGTAGATTCGGACGCTGGCCTCTCCTCCTGCTTGAATTAGTTCTGCTGGTATTTTGTCGCAACCTGGTGACTTTCCTTTTTTCAGGCTGTGTATTGCTGATCGTACCTCATCCAGTAAAGGCTCTGGTTCTTTTTCATAACTTTCACAAGTTGTTTTTGAATTACCTGTCTCATCCTCATACATTTCTCTACAGTATTCTTTCCATCTTTCTAATATGTCTTTGGTTTTCGGTAATAGCATTAAGCATAGCAATTACGCCTGTTCATATCTCATGAACAATCGGATCTCAAACCGTTTGCCTCTCGCTCTGAAGGTCATGGGTTCATGAGTGCAATTTTTATGGAGATTCCTGGGGATTGTCGCCGGAGCTATGGAGATCTTGTTCTGTCACAGCTAGCTGTTCTGCGGAGAGGGACTGAACCATATGGAATATAACCCAGTGCAAAAAGGAAAGTACCGACCACATGATTCACCGAGTGCTGACTGGTCAGAAACAGAGAGCAAGAATGTACTCATTATACATCAAGACATAAAAAAATCCCTAAGCTGTAAGCCTTTTTTTTTAAACCTATTTTTTAAATTTTGCTTCCTCTCTAGGATTGCAGAAGCCGGGGTTGTCTAAACCTCTAGGATTGCAGGAGCCGGGGTTGTCTAAACCTCTAGGATTGCAGGAGCCGGGGTTGTCTAAACCTCTAGGATTGCAGGAGCCGGGGTTGTCTAAACCTCTAGGACTGCAGGAGCCGGGGTTGTCTAAACCTCTAGGATTGCAGGAGCCGGGGTTGTCTAAACCTCTAGGATTGCGGGAGCCGGGGTTGTCTAAACGTCTAGGATTGCGGGAGCCGGGGTTGTCTAAACCTCTAGGATTGCAGGAACCGGGGTTGTCTAAACCTCTAGGATTGCGGGAGCCGGGGTTATCTAAACCTCTAGGATTGCAGGAGCCGGGGTTGTCTAAACCTCTAGGATTGCAGGAGCCGGGGTGGTCTAAACGATAGATGCTCGCCTACAGATCGGATGGTCATGGGTTTGGGTTCCTGAGAAGGGCCGGAATTTTTGCAAAAATGACCTTGGCTCCCAGGTCGACCCACCCTTGAGTAAGTACCAGGTACAGTCCTGGGAAGTAAAGGCAGCTGGCGTGAACACCCACCAGGTGCCATTTGGTCTATAAAATATAGGTCTAGCCCTATGTGCCAATACGCCTCAAGGCATGGGAAAGGGTCTTTTTCTCTAGGACTGCACTCTGTGGTTCTCTAGGACTGCACTCTGTGGTACTCTAGGACTGCACTCTGTGGTACTCTAGGACTGCACTCTGTGGTACTCTAGGACTGTGGTACTCTGTGGTACTCTAGGACTGCACTCTGTGGTACTCTAGGACTGCACTCTGTGGTACTCTAGGACTGCACTCTGCTCTAGGACTGCACTCTGTGGTTCTCTAGGACTGCACTCTGTGGTACTCTAGGACTGCACTCTGTGGTACTCTAGGACTGCACTCTGTGGTACTCTAGGACTGCACTCTGTGGTACTCTAGGACTGCACTCTGTGGTACTCTAGGACTGCACTCTGTGGTACTCTAGGACTGCACTCTGTGTACTCTAGGTACTCTAGGTACTAGGACTGCACTCTGTGGTACTCTAGGACTGCACTCTGTGGTACTCTAGGACTGCACTCTGTGGTACTCTGTGGTACTCTAGGCACTCTGTGGTACTCTAGGACTGCACTCTGTGGTACTCTAGGACTGCACTCCGTGGTACTCTAGGACTGCACTCTGTGGTACTCTAGACTGCACTCTGTGGTACTCTAGTGCACTCTGTGGTACTCTAGGACTGCACTCTGTGGTACTCTAGGACTGCACTCTGTGGTACTCTAAGACTGCACTCTGTGGTACTCTAGAACTGCACTCTGTGGTACTCTAGGACTGCACTCTGTGGTTCTCTAGGACTGCACTCCGTGGTTCTCTAGGACTGCACTCTGTGGTACTCTAGGACTGCACTCTGTGGTACTCTAAGACTGCACTCTGTGGTACTCTAGGACTGCACTCCGTGGGATTAACAGCTCAAGACTGAGAATCAAAGGCACTGACACAAGAGAGTGAACAATAGAAAAACTGGACTTTTATTCCATATCACAACAAGAGGTCAAGGAGAAGTACAGAAGCTCCTGAAGGTGGAGAACAGACAGCAGACATCCAGATGACCTAATCAACAGACTAAACTGAGGGCAGTACACCAGCATTGTTGTTGTTGTTGACTAAGAACAGGACACTGTTGACTTCATGCAAAAAATGCACAAAATGAGATGTGAACAATCTGCCCAGGGTTCCTGCCAAACCGCCTTTCAAACACTGCTGAACTGTCCCACCCCACTTTCCACAGCAAGACCTGCAAGAAAACACACGCTCAGAGGAAGAGGACTCCAGGAGAAACGTTGGGGAACCCTTGGAGACTTGTTGTAGACATGCCTGTTCACGGAGGCAACACAACTGATAACCTGAGCATATAAGAGCAAAAAGAAGTGGAAGAAACAGGTACACATTCCGGAGACCCTATTCAACTGTAAAACACTTTTACTTGGGGCACCTGACAGTTATGAAGTAACCTCTAGCCTCTAACCTCTAAGGGTGGGTATAATATTTAAAGTGGGTTTTTAAAAAATGTTTTACATCTTGCTGTATTAAATGGGTATTTATTTAAATGACCAAATAAGCAAACATAGATAAGAAATTGTCTACATTCCCTCTACATTAAAGTGAATGTGTATTTCTACAGTTATAACAAAACTGAAGAGCTTAATGCCTGCCTTCTTTGCCCTAATTTCAATTATTTTTATAATTTGTTCAGAAAATTCTAATTAAATATACAACCTTTTTCAACTCCAAGATTTGCTGCCTAAGGTCTGCTTCCGTCCTTTTTGCTGACTCGTACCTAGTGCTGACGTCCGTGAACATCTGCGAGTGATTTTAAAAAAAAGTAATCAAATACAGAAGTGTTGGCTAATAGCGTTAGTTAATAGACCTAAGTTTTGTAAAGCTCAGTGACTGTTCCAGCACAGATGTATCGGCCTATGTCTGCAAGCACGCATGTCATCATTATTATTAAACATTTTACTGACTGGCGTGGCCCATCATGCCTCTCTACGATCTGTGATCTTCAATTGGATGTATCCATTCCTGTGCTGGCACTCCTCCAGGTCATGTTAGAATGCTGTCAAGAATCTTCTAGCATTGTTTTTCTCAGTCTCTTTTTTTTCACAAATCTGTCCAGTGGTCACATGTTCCATTTTCCTTCTTCTCAATATATGACCAAAAAATTATGACAGTTTATTTATAATGTTTGTGATAAATTGTCTTTGAGCCCCTGTCTCTTTCAAAATATCCTGACCAGTCTCTTATTCTTATGTATACACACATATATAAAGTAACATATGGTCAAAGAACTTGATGTGACTTTTATTATTACTTGTTGCCCACACATACAACTTTCTTCTTCTCTGCCTCTCTCCACTAACATTACCCACATAGGGCTCTTTTTATCTCAGCTCTTCTGTCGATATACAAGCATACTTTGAATTTAAAAATAAAAAGAAACACACAAATATATCAATGAAAACTACAGAAACAAAAACATTTCATGAAAAATTAAAATGATTCGAAAGTAAATGCCAAGGTCCCTACTGAACTTATGTCCTTGACCGTGCTGTACTTAACATCCTTGACCCTGCTGTACTTGACAACCTTGACCGTGCTGTACTTAACAACCTTGACCCTGCTGTACTTAACATCCTTGACCCTGCTGTACTTAACATCCTTGACCCTGCTGTACTTAACACCCTTAACCATGCTGAACTCAAATCCTTCACCATGCTGAATTTATGTCCTTTATCATGTTGTACCTAAATCCTTCACCATGCTGAACTGATGTCCTTGACTTTGCTGTACTTAACATCCTTGACCCTGCTGTACTTAACACCCTTAACCATGCTGAACTCAAATCCTTCACCATGCTGAATTTATGTCCTTTATCATGTTGTACCTAAATCCTTCACCATGCTGAACTGATGTCCTTGACTTTGCTGTACTTAACATCCTTGACCCTGCTGTACTTAACACCCTTAACCATGCTGAACTCAAATCCTTCACCATGCTGAATTTATGTCCTTTATCATGTTGTACCTAAATCCTTCACCATGCTGAACTGATGTCCTTGACTTTGCTGTACTTAACATCCTTGACCACACTGGACTTACATCCTAGAGCACATTGTGCTTAAATCCTTGACCATGCTGTACTGATGACCTTAACCATGTTGTACTTATGTCCTTGACCATGCTGTACTTATGACCTTAACCATGTTGTACTTATGTCCTTGACCATGCTGTACTTATGACCTTAACCATGCTGTACTTATGACCTTAACCATGTTGTACTTATGACTTTAACCATGTTGTGCTTAAATCCTTGACCATGCTGTATTTACCTCCATGGCCATGCTGAACTTATGACCTTAACCATGTTGTACTTAAATCCTTGACCATACTGTACTTACCTTCTGTAAAGAAGAATTCTCCATACAGAAAGCATCCTCTTGGTTTTTCAACACTGAAATAAATGACATTTAAAGATGTGCTGAAATCACACTGCTTCTAAAACCATGTTTAACTTTTTGGGTACCATGCAAATCATCCTACACTCATTAGTATGTCCAAAGACAGTACACTGTACACAGTACTGGCTCTCATTCACCATAAAATAGTTGTTACATTAACTTATTATGTCAGAACTGTTAGTTTAATTCTTCCTGTCCCACCACCAATCAGGATGTCCTCTACAGAACAACGCTCTCATCATTGCATGCCTGAATGTTTAATCTTTGTGCTTTGCATGAAAATCTGTTTTACAGATCTGGCTTATTTGAATGCAGACTGTTGGTTCCTCAACATTCAGGCAGAATTTCTAATTGATCAGCTCTTACAACATGCTTGTTACGGGGCAGTGAGTCTAATGAAATTCCCCCCCCCCCCCCCCCCCCCCCCCCCCCCCGAAAGTCAACAATGGGGCCCCAAAACCAACAGAAGCAAAAAGGAACATCCAAAATGGGGCAACCAAAACCAACAGAAGCAAAAAGGAACATCCAAAAAACAAAAATAAACATCTAACAAACAAAAATGAATATTTAACAAACAAAACAAAAATGAATAACTAACAAACAAAAAGGAACATGTAACAAACAAAAATAATATCTAACAAAAAGGAAAATCTAACAAACAAAAATGAACATCTAACAAACAAAAATGAACATCTAACAAACAAAAAGAAACATCTAACAAAAAGAAAAATCTAACAAACAAAAAGGAATATATAACAAACAAAAAAGAACATGTAACAAAGAAAAATGAACATTAAACAAACAAAAAGGAACATCTAATAAACAAAAATGAACACCTAACAAACAAAAGAAACATCTAACAAACAAAAATGAACATCTAACAAACAAAAAGGAACATCTAATGAACAAAAGAAACATCAAACAAAAAGGAAAATCTAACAAACACAAATGAACATCTAACAAACAAAAAGGAACATGTAACAACCAAAAAGGAACATCAAACAAACAAAAAGGAACATCTAACAAACAAAAATGAACATCTAACAAACAAAAACGATCATCTATTAAAGAAAAATGAACATCCAAGAAACAAAAAAGGAAAATCTAACAAACAAAAAGGAATATCTAACAAACAAAAGAAACATCTAACAAAAAGGAAAATCTGACAAACAAAAAGGAACATCTAGCCAAAAAAAAAATTGCTATGCCTTCAGGTGTTTTGGGCATACAGAACTAGACCTATATTTTTAGACACTAATCAGTGGGCCATGTGGTCAACATCCTGCCAGCAACTTGACTTCCCAAGACTTTACTCAAACACAGGCTAGGAAGACCTGGGAGCTGAAGTCATTTCTGAAGAAACTAAAAGTCCAGCTCTGTTCAGATTTGAACCACCCCTTTAGATCCGCAGGTGAGCATCTAGCTGCTATAATATGGCAGTCCCCTATGCTTCTGTCAAAGATATATTTAAATGCAGACCAGTCCTACAGAGTTCACAAACACTGCTGACATCTATGCTTCTGTGCTCTGTAAAAGGAGACTGAGAAACTTAAAGAGATATCTGTGAGCCAAAAAAGTGCATTTTATTATTCCTGCACTTATTTCCCACCTCGTTTTCACCCCCCCCCCTTTCCCCACCTCTTTTTCATCCCACCTTCTCCCGGCCCCACCCACCCACCCACACACATTCACATGCACACACACACACACTTGACAGATAACAAACAAACAAACAAACAAATGACAAACTTGTTTGTGTATCTTGTTGTAATGACTGAAGCTGCCTGATAAGATCAGCCTGCTGCCCGGAATGTTCTGTCAGCTGGTTGTGCGCTAGCCACAGTTCCCTCAGTTCTCGTCTGTTAGTAGTCAAAAGTCACTTAGTAAACTGTTTACTTGTGTGTGTAACAGTGGCACTCATCAGTCAACATAATAAACAGTTTACTTGTCTGCGTAAAATTGGCAGTCAGCAGTCAACATAGTAAACTGTTAACTTCTCTGTGTAACAATGGCAGTCCGCAGTCAACAAAGTAAACTGTTTACTTGTCTGTGTAACACTAACAGTCGAAAGTCAACATAATCAACTGTTTACTTGTCTGGGTAACACTGGCAGTCAAGAGTCAAACATAATAAACTGTTTACTGATCTGTGTAATATTGGCAGTCAAAAGTCAAACATAATAAACCGTTTACTTGTCTGGGTAACACTGGCAGTCAAGAGTCAAACATAATAAACTGTTTACTTGTCTGTGTAACACTGGCAGTCAAGAGTCAAACATAATAAACCGTTTACTTGTCTGTGTAACACTGGCAGTCAAAAGTCAAACATAATAAACCGTTTACTTGTCTGTGTAACACTGGCAGTCAAAAGTCAAACATAATAAACCATTCACTTGTCTGTGTAACACTGGCAGTCAACTGTCAACATAATAAACCGTTTACTTGTCTGTGTAACATTGGAAGTCAACAGTCAAACATAATAAACCGTTTACCTGCCTGTATAACAAGACAGCCAAGAGAAACTCAGTTAACTTTTTATTTGTCTGTGTAACACTGAGAGCTAATATAAAACATAATTAACTGTTGATCTGTATGTGTAACACTGAGAGCTAATATAAAACATAATTAACTGTTGATCTGTATGTGTAACACTGAGAGCTAATATAAAACATAATTAACTGTTGATCTGTATGTGTAACACTGAAGTAATACAATAACCCAACCTAAAAAAATGAAGAGTTCTCTGTGGTTAAGAGGTTAGTTGTTTCACAACTAGATGATTCTTGAGTATTCGGGTTCACTGCCACGGTGTATGGTTTATTTTGTTGAAAACCTGTTCTTGTGATTCTCATACAGTAGTCTGGGAAGCTTGGAAATGATAGGGGCCTCACTACATACCATTCCAAAAGACAGCAGTAATATACTGTTGCCAACCTTACACATAGCTTTTATTAAATTACTTTAAACAGCTACATGATCAATGCAGGATTTTCCATGTGGATTCTGTGGCTTTATTTTGGAAAGCAAAGAACAGAACCACGATCCCTCTACTAAGCACATAAAAAAAGTGACTAATTAGGGGTGTTTCCTTCAGTTGGAGTGCATCTACCGGAGAGGCAAGTAACCAACAGTCTGCATACAAACAAGACAGATCTGTAAAATGGATGCACATGCAAAACTCATCTTCTGTATCAAGACCAAAAGTCCAGGAGTGGACAAACAACCACAGCTTTCTCCTGGTGTTTACAATTGGTTGATGCTAAGAAGAAGAAAAAGTGCTGGGTCACTGACATTCTAGTTAACTTCCTTTTGCCTTTAAGTTTGATCCTAAACTTACCAGACAACATACAAAAGTAAAACCACTGCACTACCATGACTGCAGATTTTATTTAGACTAAATGAAAGACACGGCCTGAGAGCTTTCTTCAACATGTCACACACACACACAACTATACATTAATTACCTGACGTTTTCTATTTCTTGATGTTTGAACTCTAGTTCCCGCCGCTGATGTGATGTTTGTGCTTCATACCGCATTAGGCGATCTGCTGAATCTTCAACCTGAAAGTAAACATTAACTCTTTTAGTACAAGAATTCTTCACTGCATGTTTTTGAGTCATTCCAGAGATAATATAAAGTTCTTGCTGACCCCTTTCACAGATGTACGTTACATTAAGCTTTTTGTATCTGAACTGTTTATTCAACTATACTGTGTCCCAAAAGTTGTGCTAAACATTAAAAATCTGTAACTCAGTAATAGTTTGGTGTAAGTTGTTAAAATTTGGCATGCAGCCTGTACACTTCTGTCCGATTGTGTCTGTTGGACTCTCTTAAGCATAAATATTTGTTGCATTGAAGCTCAATTTCTTGAGAGAGGATGAGTTAAAGTAACAACTGCCTGCGATTGAAAGAGTTTATCTCCTCAAAAGGGTTACTATTCTAACATGATACTGAAACCTTTGGTCTACAGTGTGTGGGCTATACCTGGCCCTACAGCCAGTAGGGCTGGGATTGGCTAGTCTCTCTTTAGAGAGGTGAAAAGCAAAAATCAGTTGCAAGCTTATGACCTGTGCATGTTGTAAAGTGGCCTTATTTTTCCAATCTCATCTATCCTCTAAACAGTCTTGTTAACACAAATGAATTTTAGAATATTCGTATTACAAAACAAACTGCAAACTATGGCTTATAGAATATGTGAAAGTGTCAATGAGCAACCAATCCGTAATAAGGTTGCAAAAGACAATGTCATCCTTACCGACCCCTTAGCTTAGCAGAGCATTTGTAAGGAAAATATTGAGAAAGATGGACACCATCGAAGAGATAGGAAAGATAAAGAAGTGAATTGCCAGGGAGACTTTTAATAATGCTAAGCACGAATCCCTGAGTATGTCTACATCTGATGTGATGAATGATGAAATCAAGCAATACTGAAATCTGAAAAGATTTCTACATCTGATGTTATGAATGATGAAATCAAGCAATACTGAAATCTGAAAAGATTTCTACAACTGATGTGATGAATGATGAAATCAAGCAATACTGAAATCTGACAAGATGACCTTCCTGTCAAGGATTAAACATCTCAAGAAAATGGAAGACTTAAACAACGAAGTGATACATTTTATTCATTAAATTTTGTTAGTAGGATAATGAAAAGAATGTAATAGATAATAATGAAATTTGACAATTTCACATGCTTTTTTTTAAAAATCAAAATTTGATGAAGAATCTTTATATGAAGAAAAAGATACATCAATTAAAATCTCATAAAATTTGTTAAAAGTAACATCTTCTGTGTTATCCTGAGATTATATTTGAATAATTTGTCTGTATGAAAGACTGAAGAAATACCTCAATGTTTAAGTTTCTTAGGGGGCAATAAATTATTAGTGAGGTCACCCCAGTTATATTATAAGCCCATGGCATATCTTTATTAATGATAACAAGAATAATGCTGATCATCTATCTCCTCAACTCGTGATTTGAAAACTCTGGCAAATATATTCTTCTCTCGGGACATTTCCCTAGACGTTTTTATTTAGTCACTTGAGGCATTGATTCAGAAGTTCTTTCCTGCACATTATGACAGTGAACCACACAGGCCATCCCCACCTCCAAGGGGTGTAGACGAGGAAACCATGGCCACGAGGTCGTGGGAGAATGGGGCTCTGGCTCGCCTAGGTAGATGAACTTAGCTAGGTCAGTTTGTTCCTGTCCTGAACCTGCAACTGGCCCAGCAAACCGGCAGGGGATTACTTACACTGCTCAAAGAAACAGAATGAAGTATAAACAGACTGACTGAGATGGCAATGAACCAGGTAATCTTAAAGGAGATCGGGACAGCCCAGCAATTAAAAACAAAAATAAACACTGAACATCTGTGGCACCTCAACTTCGCAAGGCACCAGAGGATCAAGATGAGATGAGATGATGATGGTGAAATGACGATTTAAACTTTCTGTTCCGATCACTTTAAAGAAAGAAAAAAAATCAAAGACGACTGCTTCATAAAAGGTAAAAAATGGATATTTCACAGAGTTACACAAAAATGCAGAATGTTCTATTATCATTCTGTTTTACCATGGTTTAAAAGAGAAGTCTCTTGTCTAATGAATGAGGTGAAATCCTAAATCCTTGTTCTCTCCCACTCTATTTCTCACTCTTTAATTTTCTTTGTCAATAATGATCTCATTCTCCTTGTTTCTGACACACTTTATCTCCCTCTCCCCCTCCCCCCACAAAGTCTCTCTCTCTCTCTCTCTCTCTCTCTCTCTCTCTCTCTCTCTCTCTCTCTCTCTCTCTCTCTCTCTCTCTCTCTCACTAACTCTTTTTACTACTATCTCTCTGTCACTGGCTCTCTCTATTACTACTTCTCTGTCACTACCTCTCTTTCTGAATCTCTCATTAACTTTCTCTATTACTACATCTCTGTCACTATCTTTCTATCACTATCTCTCTTTCGCTCTGAATCTCTCTAACTCTATCACTATTTATCTCTCTCACTGCCTCTCTCTATTACTAAATCTCTGTAACTATTATCTCTCACTAACTCTATTTATTACTATATCTCTTCCACCATCCCTGTCTCTGTCTTACTACCTTTCTCTATTACTAACTCTGTCATGAGCTCTCTCTCACTAACTTTCTCTATTAACACATCTGTCAAGAGCTCTCTCTATCTCTCTCACTAACTTTCTCTATTACCACATCTGTCATGAGCTCTCTCAATCTCTCTCAGTATCTTTCTCTATTACTACCTCTGTCATGAACTATCTCTACCTCTCTCACTAACTTTTTCTATTACTACCTCTGCCAAAATCTCTCTCTCTGTCTCTCTCACTAACTTTCTCTTTTACTACCTCTGTCACCACTACCCTCTCTCTGTCTCTCTCACTAACTTTCTCTATAACTACCTCTGTCACCATCTCTCTCTATATCTTTCACTAACTTTCTCTATTACTATCTCTGTCACCATCTCTCTCTATATCTATCACCAACTTTCTCTATTACTACCTCTGTCACCATCTCTCTCTATATCTTTCACTAACTTCCTCTATTACCACCTCTGTCACCATCTCTCTCTATATCTTTCACTAACTTTCTCTATTTCTACCTCTGTCACCATCTCTCTCTATATCTTTCACTAACTTTCTCTATTACTACCTATGTCACCAGCACTCTCTCTCTCTCTCTCTCTCAATTTATTACCATCTCTCTCTGTCTCTCTCACTAACTTTCTCTATTACTACCTCTGTCACCACCACTTTCTCTTTCTCACTCTTTCTCTATTACTACCTATGTCACCATCTCTCTCTATATCTTTCACTAACTTTCTCTATTACTACCCATGCCACCAGCACTCTCTCTCTCTCTCTCTCTCTCTCTCTCTCTCTCTCTCTCTATCTCTCTAAATCTCTCTCACCAAATCCCTGTGTCTTATTATCGCTTTACCTGCCTCACTAACTACCCCTGCATGCATAACCCACCTTTATCTGAGTTTATGTAGGTATGAGTATTTATACTAAATATAACAAACTGGATAGAATACTCCAGATGTAAGCTTACCTCTTTAACCAGCCCATCAAACTTGACCATTTTGTTGGAGACTTCCTTCTCTAGGGTCTACAACATGAAACAATTCAGTGACAGTTAAGCTTGCATGTGTAACACAAGACTTTTTTTACTTTTTTTCTTTTATTCAAACATCTAGTTGCTGTCAAGGTACTTCTACATCTCATTCTTATCGTCTCAGTTTTCCTGCTCTTCTTATTCTTCCTTCATCACATCCTTAATTGTTTTCTTCTGATTAGTATTATTTTCATTTTTTCTTTATTATCTTCTCTTTCTTTTCTCCTTTTTCTTGGCCTTCTTCTTCTGTTCAAGCTCTAAAAATTTCATTTTTGGGACAGTGAATGAGAAGCTACTTAAACATGATTACTTTACCTGATCTATTCAAGCTCTCTCACTCTCATTTTTTTTTCCATCCCAACTTCCCACCCCCTAAGATTGCAGTCTGTAGGATAAACATCTCAAGTATGAGAATCAAACAGATACAAATCACAGAAAGTTTGTTCAAGCATATAATATAGTTATTTTGAATATGTTATTAGTATTAAAGAAAACTGTGGTCCTAATATTTTTTTTAAAAGTAGGTCTCCTCCAGATTCGCATTTGCAAATCATGAAAACCATGTTCAACCACACAGTTCGGTTATACTGGGGCACCACAAAGTGGTTACCAGGTGACCTGTAGTCCAGTGTGGGTGGGTAGTGGTCAACAATATGGGTTGGTAAGATGACATTCAAGCTCTCTCAGTGAGTCAGTGATGGTCAAACCAATCAGGACCACAGATGGAGTGATGAGCACATGGTGGCACAAAGTGCCACCATTCTGATGAGGATCACTAGGGGACAGGTCCCAAAAATTCTGTTCATAGGTTGGGTTATATTAGGGCCCCCAGGCAAGAGCAAGAGCACATATTACACTGTTTACTTGTCTGTGTAACAGTGGCAGTCAAGAGTCAAACTTAGGGCCCCCAGGCAAGAGCAAGAGCACATATTACACTGTTTACTTGTCTGTGTAACAGTGGCAGTCAAGAGTCAAACTTAGGGCCCACAGGCAAGAGCAAGAGCACATATTACACTGTTTACTTGTCTGTGTAACAGTGGCAGTCAAGAGTCAAACTTAGGGCCCACAGGCAAGAGCAAGAGCACATACTACACTGTTTACTTGTCTGTGTAACAGTGGCAGTCAAGAGTCAAACTTAGGGCCCCCAAGCAAGAGCAAGAGCACATATTACACTGTTTACTTGTCTGTGTAACAGTGGCAGTCAAGAGTCAAACTTAGGGCCCCCAGGCAAGAGCAAGAGCACATATTACACTGTTTACTTGTCTGTGTAACAGTGGCAGTCAAGAGTCAAACTTAGGGCCCACAGGCAAGAGCAAGGGTGGGGCTTTAAAACAATAACAAATTACGTAGCGTAGGATATTGGAACACAGCGCTATTTCCCATTTTGGGGCGAATTACAATTAATGACTAACTCTCTCTGACTGACTGACTGATGCTTCACCCCACCAGGACATCACATGGAGTGATCAACATCTGGTGACACAAAGTGCTACCATTCCGATGAGGATCACCTGTGGAGAGGTCCCAGAAACCCCTTTTAGCTGTTAGCCTTAATTATATTCTAAACCTCTGGTAAAAGCCAGGGTGGGCCTTAAAGCTGTTTCTTCTGACTGACTGACTTTCTACCCCACTAGGACATCACACAAGCGATAAACACCCGATGACACAATGTGCCACCATGTGGATGAGGATCGCCGTGGAGAGGTCCCAGAAACCGCGTTCAGACAATTGGCCATATTTATGGCCTGCCTATATTGCGGCCCCTGGCAAAAGCCAGAGTGGGGCTTCAAATAACAAAAAATTACGTCCTAAAAAGGACGTTAGGTAAAAGTTTCTTCTAAACAGCTGTTTTTAATCAGAAAGTGGTTTCTTGAATATGGGTTTGAGGAATTAATACACATGTCTAATATGTCAAAAACACAATACTGTACGCTAACCCTTCCATTTTTTAAAGAACAACTTTCAGTTGTTGTTTTTTTTCTTCCCTTGTTTTGCAGACTAACGTGCAACTTTTTTTGGCTTTCTAACTCCTAAAAGCAATTACTTCCTTTGCATTGCAATTTCCAACAGTGATTATTTCCCTTGCATTGTAAACTGGAAACCAGTAGTTCTCAAACAGAGGGGCAAGTCTTACTTACATGAGTCACTCAGGAGATTAAGGAATAACAGGAAAACACAAAGACGAGAGTTTATAAATATTTGTACAACTCTGATTTTTTTTTTTCAACACATTATGGTTATATTCTAATCCTATTTTTGTTCTTTGTCCTTTCAGAGATTCTAGTCTGGAAAGAGTGACACCCTGTGACTCAAACAGCCAATTTTCAGATGTACATCCAAGATACACCACTCAACCAACCATATACACTGCTATTTTGGGGCACTCTATGGTTACAAAATAACCTGCAGCCCTATAGGATGAGATAAGCCTTCTATTTTGTTACACACCTCAAAATTATCATATAGCAAAGTTTATATCGCTCTACGTCTCAAAATTTTGATATAGCAAAGTTTAATTGTGTTTCAATGTAACCTCTGTGTGATATATAATGCCCCAAGGTTTTCAAAGACATTTTGCATCTAATTTTGTCTGTGTATGTTAATGAGGAGCTAATCAAACTGCTACAAACAATGAAACACAAATTCAAATGTCTGCAAATATTATGAATATTAACTGTTGGCAGACAGCAGCTACTAGAATTAACAACTGTTCACAATGCAATGCAAAAGAAGCATGCAGTGCAAAAGGAGCATGCAGCAAGGATACGTACTGTTGCCAGATTTGCTCCACATGAGCATATAGATCTCCAGAAAATGTGCAGGGTTGAAACTGACGGTCATTATCGAAAAATTGATGCACTTATGAAGGGTCTGAGCATAACTAAAACAATCCAAACCAACTGTGTGTTACTTCTCTTCTTTGATTTTTTTTTTTCAATATTGTTCTGTATCTGATCTGCAGATTTCTTCTCTAAAATTTATACTATGTTGACTTACTTCATTTTTTTTTTTTTTTGGGGTTGCATTTTGAAGAATGAAACATGCTTGGAATTGCTTTTCTCACTGAAAGTATTTCTTATCAATCCAAGAATGCAAGATGTGTCCCCTAGAAACACAAGTTTGAGAAGCACTGCCTCCAACCTTGCACAGACACACAACAAATAAATGCTCAGCTGGTTTAGATAAGACTAGCAACCTGATATCTGCTAACACAAGCAGGGAGAAGAGATAAACAACAGACAATTACTCTGATTCTTTCCTCCAAGATCTTCTGTCTGCTTACAGCATGCAGCTTCTCTGATTTCACAACCTCCAGATCAGCTGTCAACTGGGCAACTTTTCGATTCAGTGCTACAGGAAATGATTCACATGTTACATTCTGTTCAAACAACAAACTTAAATTTTAATTTGCAGCACAGTGCGTGCTACTTCAAGTAGCTAGTTTGTAGGTTAACATACAGAAGTGGCATAAAAAGGGTTAACTCTTTTGGTTCCATGGTAAGCATCAAATGTGTTTTCTTCTTCTTCTGTTAGTCCTTAACGGGGTGATTAGTTGAGCTATCGTTTACGGCTAGGCTGTGATATCTGCACCTTCCTGACCAGCACATCTGACTTCAGCAAAACCTTTCATTAGTCATCAAGCTTTTGAAAGGCCATTGATCACTGTGTGGGTTCCGGGTCCCCATTGTGGGTAAAACAAGAACAGACCAACTGCCTCCCCAACAAGCATGTCATAAGAGTCGACTAACTGGGGACTTCCTCGAAGGCGAAGTTCATCTGCCAGAGTGGCAAGGAACAACCAACTGTACATAAATAAACCAGTGAAACATATGTACATGCAAAACTCAGCCTTTGGCACAAAGCCAAAGTCCAAATGGATGAACAACCAGGACTTACATAGGACTTACACAGGGCTTGCAGATCATTGCTCCATTCCATTCTATCAGGTATGATCAGTTTGATATTATGGATGGAATGCAGTCCAGCACCTTTGACCTCTCTCATGAAAGATAAATTTAGGATTTCCTTTAGGCGTTCATACCTCCTCAATCCCTTTCCCATTTTAATGATGTTTGTGGTTCTCTGCTCATTTCTTCTCAGGATGTGTCTAATTTAGCACACTCTTCTCTGTCTTATAACTGTTGATACTAGTAACCACTTTTCTTTTATTTCTTTACCCCCTTCTGAATTCATCCTATTTTATTTTCATCATTTTCCTCAGGCATTTGTTTTCAAATGCATTTAACTTTTGTTCTATGTCTTTAGCGATTCTCCAGCTTTCACTTGCATATGTTAAAAATGAAACAACATAAGAATAAAAAATACTTAACTTGATTTTAAAACTATACAATTTACAGCTCCATATTTTATGCACGTGATTAAAAGCAGCTGATGCCTTGCCAATGTATGTCATAATTTTTGTCTTTCTACTGCCTTCGCTATGAAAATTACCACCTAAATAATTAAACTGATCTGTTGTTTAATTACTTTTGTCCCTAGTGTAACAGCTGCTTGATATGTTACTGGTGTTTTCAGTCTTGTCATAACTTATTTGTAGTCCAAATTTTGATACTATATTTTCTAAATCATGTGGTTTTCTATGCTTGTCATTGTTATTTTTACTTAGCAGAGCAATATCATCAGCAAAATAGAGATCTTACAAGTTGATTGCTTGTATTTCCAACTCCCAGTCAATGGTTATGACAAATGCATCCTTGTTTCACTCCAGTTTGATCTTCAAACTGATCACTTAAACCATTATCTGTTCACACTGTACACTTTGAAACTAAATAAATTACCTTAATAATATTTATTATTTTCATTGGTAAACCATAGCATTCCTAAATTCCCCATAGTTACGTTCTATGTAAACTATCAAAAACCTCAAAAGTCAATTGAATTTTCAGTGAATTCCTCAAAAATAGGGTGTGTGATCTAAGCAGCTTCTTACATACCAAAAACCTGCTGGCTCCACTACCCCTAATTCTAATGAGAATTATTTCACTCCAGTTGTTACAGTCAAAAATGGAATGTTAACAATGATTCTTTTCTTCCACCAATTTAAAAAAAAAAAATTTTTTAAATATTATATTAAAGAAATATTTTACTCGTTTTACTGTTTATATGAGAATTTCTGCAGTAATATCATCACCACCTGCTGCCTTATGGTTTGGTAGTGAATTGATTTCCCTTGTGATTTCCTTGTTGTTTATCTCTCCTTCCTTTTTTGATAATATGATAATTTTAGCTTCTTCAATAAAATTCATAGGTTCTTGTCGATTAGGTCTATTTCACATTTCTTGGAAATGTTAAGCCAATCTGTTTTTCTTATCAGTTTCTCAGTATCAGATGAAAGCACTGTATCAACATTACTTGTAGTAGGACCATCTCGCAGTTTGAAAGTACTAGTTAACTGCTTTAGTGTACTACAAGTGCGTGAACAGTGCGGATGCACAGATAGATCATTACAGTCTAAGGAGAATGGTGCTGCCAGGAGTTACCAGGGGATCTGGCAGACACTCAACACTCAAGGGAAGGGCAAGATGGATATACGATCAGACAGTAACTGGTACTATTGGAATTCAAACTCTTCGCTTGCTGCTGAAGATGGGGACGAAGTGTTTATGGGAGTGACCTGAATGCTAAGATGTTGATTCTTAATTCAACATTTAATTGTACTATATAGTAGGTTACTATGTCGACTCTTAGCTACCTGTTCTCTTTCTCTGGCTAATCTAGCTCTAGACATAATTAGGATTAAATTTTTTAAAATACCATATTTTTCCTTCTGGGTGCTTTCTACAGTTTTCCTGAAAGTCTCCTCCAGACTTCTTTCTTTATTCTCCTCATTGCGAATCTGAAAAGACAAAAAGATGTAAAATCAAAATGATGTAAAGAAACAAATAATCGACTCTAACTGCATGGATTATATGTTGTTGTTGTGTCATTATGTATTTCTTTCTATTAAAAAAAAAGTAAAGCACCCTTTTCCACGTCTTCAGGCGTATTGGGCATATAGGGCTAGACCAATATTTTATAGACCGAATCATCAGTGGGTGATGTGGTCAGCATCGCGCCGACCGTCTTTACATGCTTATTTTCCCTAGAATTATTACAACTACTACTGTTTACTGTAGTCAGAAATGTGCCCACTCCCGTGCTGGTATTGAATATTTTGATGCTACTGATTTTCACTTGCTTGATGCATGAATGAAATCTCTGCAGAATGGCTAGCCATCTACTGACATCATCACACAAAGCACGAACTCTGTAGCTCTAGCATTATTCTCTGTAAAACTTACACTGGCGAACTGAACAACACATCCGTTAAACCAGCCCATGATCTTCAGAGAAAATAGCTTGAGCCCATCATGATGGAGACCCAAAGTGATTAATCATGCATCAGGTCCTTGCAGAATGCTATTCCTAGATGCCTTTACCTTACATGACATTTTCTGGCATTCATTTAAGCCTGAGTCGACCTCAGACCCTAGAACAATTATAAAATTCCTGCTCTGATGCAGATTCGAACTCATGACCTTCAGGACAGCGGGCAAGCAAGTAGCTACTAAGCCAAACACAAAAAGACACACAATGAACCTCAAGGGCTAGGAATGCTGCAGAAGAAGAAGAAGAAGAAGAAGAAGAAGAAGAAGAAGAAGAAGAAGAAGAAGAAGAAGAAGAAGAAGAAGAAGAAGAAGAAGAAGAAGAAGAAGAAGAAGAAGAAGAAGAAGAAGAAGAAGAAGAAGAAGAAGAAGAAAAAGAAGAAGAAGAAGAAGAAAGAAGAAGAAGAAGAAGAAGAAGAAGAAGAAGAAGAAGAAGAAGAAGAAGAAGAAGAAGAAGAAGAAGAAGAAGAAGAAGAAGAAGAAGAAGAAGAAAGAAGAAGAAGAAGAAGAAGAAGAAGAAGAAGAAGAAGAAGAAGAAGAAGAAGAAGAAGAAGAAGAAGAAAGAAGAAGAAGAAGAAGAAGAAGAAGAAGAAGAAGAAGAAGAAGAAGAAGAAGAAGAAGAAGAAGAAGAAGAAGAAGAAGAAAGAAGAAGAAGAAGAAGAAGAAGAAGAAGAAGAAGAAGAAGAAGAAGAAGAAGAAGAAGAAGAAGAAGAAGAAGAAGAAGAAGAAGAAGAAGAAGAAGAAGAAGAAGAAGAAGAAGAAGAAGAAGAAGAAGAAGAAGAAGAAGAAGAAGAAGAAGAAGAAGAAGAAGAAGAAGAAGAAGAAGAAGAAGAAGAAGAAGAAGAAGAAGAAGAAGAAGAAGAAGAAGAAGAAGAAGAAGAAGAAGAAGAAGAAGAAGAAGAAGAAGAAGAAGAAGAAGAAGAAGAAGAAGAAGAAGAAGAAGAAGAAGAAGAAGAAGAAGAAGAAGAAGAAGAAGAAGAAGAAGAAGAAGAAGAAGAAGAAGAAGAAGAAGAAGAAGAAGAAGAAGAAGAAGAAGAAGAAGAAGAAGAAGAAGAAGAAGAAGAAGAAGAAGAAGAAGAAGAAGAAGAAGAAGAAGAAGAAGAAGAAGAAGAAGAAGAAGAAGAAGAAGAAGAAGAAGAAAGAAGAAGAAGAAGAAGAAGAAGAAGAAGAAGAAGAAGAAAGAAGAAGAAGAAGAAGAAGAAGAAGAAGAAGAAGAAGAAGAAGAAGAAGAAGAAGAAGAAGAAGAAGAAGAAGAAGAAGAAAGAAGAAGAAGAAGAAGAAGAAGAAGAAGAAGAAGAAGAAGAAGAAGAAGAAGAAGAAGAAGAAGAAGAAGAAGAAGAAGAAGAAGAAGAAGAAGAAGAAGAAGAAGAAGAAGAAGAAGAAGAAGAAGAAGAAGAAGAAGAAGAAGAAGAAGAAGAAGAAGAAGAAGAAGAAGAAGAAGAAGAAGAAGAAGAAGAAGAAGAAGAAGAAGAAGAAGAAGAAAGAAGAAGAAGAAGAAGAAGAAGAAGAAGAAGAAGAAGAAGAAGAAGAAGAAGAAGAAGAAGAAGAGAAGAAGAAGAAGAAGAAGAAGAAGAAGAAGAAGAAGAAGAAGAAGAAGAAGAAGAAGAAGAAGAAGAAGAAGAAGAAGAAGAAGAAGAAGAAGAAGAAGAAGAAGAAGAGAAGAAGAAGAAGAAGAAGAAGAAGAAGAAGAAGAAGAAGAAGAAGAAGAAGAAGAAGAAGAAGAAGAAGAAGAAGAAGAAGAAGAAGAAGAAGAAGAAGAAGAAGAAGAAGAAGAAGAAGAAGAAGAAGAAGAAGAAGAAGAAGAAGAAGAAGAAGAAGAAGAAGAAGAAGAAGAAGAAGAAGAAGAAGAAGAAGAAGAAGAAGAAGAAGAAGAAGAAGAAGAAGAAGAAGAAGAAGAAGAAGAAGAAGAAAGAAGAAGAAGAAAGAAGAAGAAGAAGAAAGAAGAAGAAGAAGAAGAAGAAGAAGAAGAAGAAGAAGAAGAAGAAGAAGAAGAAGAAGAAGAAGAAGAAGAAGAAGAAGAAGAAGAAGAAGAAGAAGAAGAAGAAGAAGAAGAAGAAGAAGAAGAAGAAGAAGAAGAAGAAGAAGAAGAAGAAGAAGAAGAAGAAGAAGAAGAAGAAGAAGAAGAAGAAGAAGAAGAAGAAGAAGAAGAAGAAGAAGAAGAAGAAGAAGAAGAAGAAGAAGAAGAAGAAGAAGAAGAAGAAGAAGAAGAAGAAGAAGAAGAAGAAGAAGAAGAAGAAGAAGAAGAAGAAGAAGAAGAAGAAGAAGAAGAAGAAGAAGAAGAAGAAGAAGAAGAAGAAGAAGAAGAAGAAGAAGAAGAAGAAGAAGAAGAAGAAGAAGAAGAAGAAGAAGAAGAAGAAGAAGAAGAAGAAGAAGAAGAAGAAGAAGAAGAAGAAGAAGAAGAAGAAGAAGAAGAAGAAGAAGAAGAAGAAGAAGAAGAAGAAGAAGAAGAAGAAAGAAGAAGAAGAAGAAGAAGAAGAAGAAGAAGAAGAAGAAGAAGAAGAAGAAGAAGAAGAAGAAGAAGAAGAAGAAGAAGAAGAAGAAGAAGAAGAAGAAGAAGAAGAAGAAGAAGAAGAAGAAGAAGAAGAAGAAGAAGAAGAAGAAGAAGAAGAAGAAGAAGAAGAAGAAGAAGAAGAAGAAGAAGAAGAAGAAGAAGAAGAAGAAGAAGAAGAAGAAGAAGAAGAAGAAGAAGAAGAAGAAGAAGAAGAAGAAGAAGAAGAAGAAGAAGAAGAAGAAGAAGAAGAAGAAGAAGAAGAAGAAGAAGAAAGAAGAAGAAGAAGAAGAAGAAGAAGAAGAAGAAGAAGAAGAAGAAGAAGAAAGAAGAAGAAGAAGAAGAAGAAGAAGAAGAAGAAGAAGAAGAAGAAGAAGAAGAAGAAGAAGAAGAAGAAGAAGAAGAAGAAGAAGAAGAAGAAGAGAAGAAGAAGAAGAAGAAGAAGAAGAAGAAGAAGAAGAAGAAGAAGAAGAAGAAGAAGAAGAAGAAGAAGAAGAAGAAGAAGAAGAAGAAGAAGAAGAAGAAGAAGAAGAAGAAGAAGAAGAAGAAGAAGAAGAAGAAGAAGAAGAAGAAGAAGAAGAAGAAGAAGAAGAAGAAGAAGAAGAAGAAGAAGAAGAAGAAGAAGAAGAAGAAGAAGAAGAAGAAGAAGAAGAAGAAGAAGAAGAAGAAGAAGAAGAAGAAGAAGAAGAAGAAGAAGAAGAAGAAGAAGAAGAAGAAGAAGAAGAAGAAGAAGAAGAAGAAGAAGAAGAAGAAGAAGAAAGAAGAAGAAGAAGAAGAAGAAGAAGAAGAAGAAGAAGAAGAAGAAGAAGAAGAAGAAGAAGAAGAAGAAGAAGAAGAAGAAGAAGAAGAAGAAGAAGAAGAAGAAGAAGAAGAAGAAGAAGAAGAAGAAGAAGTCGGCTCTGTGGCTAAGTCGATGCGAACACTTCGTAATGCCGGGATGCCGGTTCGATCCCAGCTGCGAGCCATGCGCCTTGCGTTGGTTTCGACAGTGGTATCAAGAAAGCCGACCGTCCATAAAGCAATGGCAAACAACTGGACGTAAATTTGCCTAGAAAAACCACACTACAGCCAGGGGCTGTTGGGGTTGGTTCTGCAACGTCCTGTAAAGGATACGCAACTGACCTATATGTTATTAATTTTCTGCGGAGTCCCATAATGCTCCCATTTGTGAGAATTAACTGACGTAACATCACCTGTTTGGTATTCTTCCTACCCTCAACAAGTGCGAGTGCGCACTCACGCACCTACGCATGCACGCGCGCATACACACACAAATACAAACAAAACCTCCTCCTTGGTGACATGATAAATCTCATCATATTTCCAATTCAAAGTGACTCAGATCCTAAATCTACACCCATACCAACCGCCTCCTAGCAGACGAGAAACTCTATCCCGGATTTCCGGTTGACTAGAACCCAACTTCGACAGCAATGTAATTAGCAACGGTGACAAAACAGCAGCGGGAAAGATAAACCGCGGGAGCGAGGAGCGGACAGTTATAGAAGACACAAATATTAGGGTGGCTCCCAGCAATGGCCGACCAAACCCAGTAACTGGATTAACGTGGCGTCGCTCTGACACGGTCGCAGATGAAGAAATCCCTCCCCTACGACTCCGTCGGAGAAGTAATGTTCCATAAAGATAACAAAAACAATTAAACTGCTTGCTACTATGTACTCACGCACGGTACTAACAGGAGACCTCTAACCTATTTTGTTTCGATATAAATGCCAATGGGTGGCACTTTTTTTTTCGAGTGGAAATTTATAAGAAAACATTAGTCTGTCATTGTTTGGGTCCGGAAATGCGGCTTGAAATCTTTAAAGCATGACAGTTTATCTATATTCTATGTCTAGATATCTGTGTGTATGAATGTGTCAATGCGCGCGCGCGCAGGAGTTATGCATGTGCCAGCGGGTGTGTTATTCTAGTGCGTGCGCGGGATTTATGTATATACTTGCGCGCGTGGGAGTTATGCAT